TTTATTTATTTATTTGACAGAGAGAGACACAGCGAGAGAGGGAACACAAGCAGGGGGAGTGGGAGAGGGAGAAGCAGGCTTCCCGCAGAGCAGGGAGCCCGATGCGGGGCTCAATCCCAGGACCCTGGGATCATGACCTGAGCCGAAGGCAGACGCTTAATGACTGAGCCACCCAGGCGCCCCTCGAGTTTTCTTTTCTTTGTACATCTTATTGTCCAGGTTTCTTGTTTTTCCCTTGAAGTGCCTTTTGGGGCCCTCAGTCCGTAGGCAGCAGATGCCTTACCTTGGGAGACAAGTGGTCTGCCTTCTCTTCTGCTCCGGATCATCTTTCTCTGAGTCCGCCCCCCAAATTGTTTGTTTGGTCCCTGTTTTCCTGTAGGAGATGCTCCCTAAATGTATGTTCTTCCCTGGCTTTCTGTCCACACGTAAGAGCTAGGTGCTCACGCGGACCGCTGTTGTACCTACCGGGATGGTCGGCTGGCTGGTTCCTTGTCCGGTGGGCTTCACCGGGGGGCGGGGGGTGCACAAATGCCCGTCTGCAGCCTGCGTCCTGGGCTGTCATCTGCTGGGGGCTGTTGGGAAGGTTGGGGGTGTTGTGGTTGGTATGCAGAATTTCAGGCATCCATTGTCAGTGCGGAATGTCAGTCCCTGGTCATGGTGTGGATGCCCAGGCTCATCCGAGCTGCTGGGATGCAATGAGGCAAGAGAAGGGGTGGCCTGGGGGCCGTGATAGCTCTGGAGGGGAATGCTCTATGGCCTTATTATTTTTTTTTTTTCTGGAAACTTTCACATGGAGTTCTTTCTGTGCCTATTTCTTATGTCTAAAATGAAGATCATTGTACTTGTATTTACATCAGTAAGGATTAAATGAGCTCTTTTTGTCTCTAACAACGTCCTGGCTAGTAGGGCAGGTGGTGGGATTCCACCTTAAGGACCAGATGGAAGTGAAAGTAAGCGACCACCCCAGTTGCCCCTGAATCCCTTAGGCTCCTTCGTGCCTGAGCAGGGCCAGAACCAGCCTTCTGTGCCATGATCTTTGACCTGCTGCTGAAGAGGGCAGCTTCATGTGGAACCAGGGCATCCGAAATTTGGCCCGATTTCTAGGAGCCTTTGGCTTCCGCGTGGCCCGGGGAGCTGTGCAAGCTGGGGGCAGACCTTGAGCATGGGGGCTGTAGGGCACGAAAATTTTTTCAGAGGAGTTTGAATGACATGTAATTCATGGAGCTCACAACTAACCCACTTAAATTTTCCAGTTAAGTTTTTCGTCAGTTCACAGTTGCGCAGCACCCACCACAGTGGATTTTAGAACGTCTGTGTCACCCCTGAAAGTCAGCCCCCCCCCCCCCCCCCCCCACCCTGCACTACCACCCAGCTACTCCATCTCTGTACATAAGGGCAAGGATTCTGCAGAGGCATCTGTCCCGGGATGCCTGGGTGGCTCAGTCGGTTAAGCGTCTGCCTTCGGCTCAGGTCATATTCCCGGGGCCCTGGGATCGAGTCCCGCATCGGGCTCCTTGCTTAGCGGGGAGCCTGCTTCTCCCTCTGCCTGCCGCTCCCCCGCTTGTGTTCTCTCTCTCTCTGGCAGATAAAGAAATAAAATCTTTAAAAAAAAAAAAAAGGAAGGGCTGTCCCAGGGTGGGCGCTTGCCTGACAGAGCTGTGGTCCGGACTGGGGTGGGGAGGGCTAACGCACACGCACGCTCACCTGTAGCCGGGATCCCTGGTGCTGAAGGCAGGCGCGAAGTGTGCGGTTGGGGTCAGGTCGAATGTGAAACACCTCCAAGACGATAGCTTTAATTGCAAAACATGCTCATTAAAACACCAACCAGGGCCCTAAACCGGAATGAAAATATTATAGGGAGAGAAGTAATTGGTGAACCCGGGAGCGCCCTAGGGAGATGTCTGTTTAAAATTAAGTAGCTTCCTGGTGTTTCTCCTCCTAGGTAGGAGACAGTTTGCCTCGGGATAATTTCTGGAAGAGTGAGTCAGGAGCTGCTTTTGAAATAGCTGTTACAGTAAATAATATGAAAATGTTTATTGTTAAACCTTAATTGGAAATGACTCTTACAGCGGGAAGTTGCCCTGTTTGAATCAGTTATAGATGGTGTTCGATTTTGCTACTAATTTGCTAACCCAAATCCCTGATGTACAAAATGTTGTGTTTTGTTTTACTAAAAACTCCATGTGCGTGCACGTTATCTGGAATCTTTGTTTTTTGAACTGGAAGGTGCCTAGGAGGTCATCTCTTGTGTTCAGAGCCTGTCCTTTTGTTAGCTAAGAACAGAACTACAGAGGCCGGGGCACTAAACTCACTAGCAGTTCTCAGCCCCCCTTCTTCCTACACGCTGTTTCCCTGCGTCTCAGTTCCCACCCCAACACCTCGCCTTCACGGGGAACTCGGAAGCCCTCCCTGGGCGCCTCGTTCTCCTCCCGAGAATCGCCCCGCGGTCTGGGAGTGATGCGGCCCTGGGCCAGCCGGGCTGCCTGGAGCCTGGCTTCCCCATCCCCATTCCAAGGATCCTGTGCCAACTCTTGTCTTCCCCCACAACCCTGTTTTTTGACATTCCGCTCTGCCTTGTGACCTCTGTCATAGGCCAGAAGCCACACCCTCTTTCTGGTTGCCCCGATGATTGTAGGATGCTGTGATCTCGTGCTCGCGTGAGGGCTTCCACAGTGCGGACGGCACGACTCCAGCTGTGCGCCCTTTCGGCAGGTAGTGGAGTGTAAAGCTTCTCGTGTCGATCTGCAGCTGCCGAAGGAAGAGACAGACAGATGGTGAAGGACAGAGACACTGCCTTTAAATATTCATCGTTCGTGCTTCTGTATGTAACACTGTGGAACAGGGCTGTGTGCGTGTGCGTGGAGCCCTCGGCCAGATTGCTGGTTCCGAACCCTCTCCTTCCTTCTCTAGTTCGGGGACGGCAGCCATCCGCAGGCATGAGCTGGGACGGATGTTGGCTCTGGAGGCACCGGAGACCTCGGCATTGTAGGAAAATGTGTGATGTAACTTTCTAGCCAAAATACTAATGAAGGAGATTTCTGTTGGGTTGTGGGAAAACTAAGGAAAGTGGAAGCAACATCAAACGTTTTTTAACTGTGGCTCACGAGAGGAAAATTGCAGAATGTCTTTAAATGGCCGCAGGTGGCCTTACACAGAACCCGGGGTGGGGGGGGAGGGTGATGTGGACACGACATGACAGATGTCCCACCCCTGCCCTAACATGCTGGTGTTTAGACTGCATCTCCCAGAACCAAAGTGGTGTCAGAATCCCTTTGTTCTGATTTTAGGTTTGGAAATAGAAAGCTGGTGTCTGTGGGTCAGAAAGCGGCCTGGTACTTTGCTCCCCGCCTTTGTAGATACGGCCGGTCCCGTGCTCTGGTATCTCTGGAAGAATCAGTACTGGCCAGTCAAGCCGGTTTAGTTGCTGACTTCCTCTGGGAGGTGCAAGCAGCCTGGCTATTGGAGCAGACGCCCACGTATGCTGCTGAGTCATTTCATGAGAAGGGGTCTTCCCTGTCTGCTCACATGCACTGCCTCTCCTGGGCCCAGAACCTATTTTGACCTACTCTTGAATCTGGTTTTTTAAAAAAGATTTGATTAAGAGAAAAGGGAATTCAAATGCTGTGTCCCTGGGAGTTTGGAGGGGTCCCTGCTGTGTAAACAGCACTGCTGAATTAACACAGGCCGGATGGGCCAGCAGCCTGCTGGCTGAGGCTTCGTGCGGTGCACACTTCTCGAGTTGTGAAACACGCAGTGTGCTCTGAACACCTTTCCGGAACTATTAGGAGTGCCCGTCATCTCCAGCCCGCCCCCGCCCCCGCCCCACGACACTCCCTTGTTTTTTTTTTTTTAAGATTTTATTTATTTATTTGATAGAAACACAGCGAGAGAGGGAACACAAGCAGGGAGAGTGGGAGAGGGAGAAGCAACCTTCCTGCCGAGCAGGGAGCCCAATGTGGGACTCGATCCCAGGATCCTGGGATCATGACCTGAGCCGAACGCAGATGCTTAACAACTGAGCCACCCAGGCGCCCTCTTTTTTTTTTTTTTTTAATTTTATTTATTTATTTGACAGAGAAAGACAAAGCGAGAGAGGGAACACAAGCAGGGGGAGTGGGAGAGGGAGAAGCAGGCTTCCCGCCGAGCAGGGAGTCCAGTGCGGGGCCCGATCCCAGGACCCCGGGATCACGACCTGAGCCGAAGGCAGACGCTTAATCGACTGAGCCACCCAGGCGCCCCGACACTCCCTTGTTTTAAAAAAGGGCCTTTTCTAAGCAGTTGCTGCGGGTGAGACTATCCCTGTCCCTGCTCTCATTTGGGTTTGCATTTTTGTTTGTAACTAAAGTTGCAGTTAGCAACTTGTTGATGACTTGTGGTCTAGAAATGAGGTGTGCTGGATACATAATGTCCAGATTTTGTGCATAGACGTTTCTTAGAGGTGGGCGACCTTGGTTTCATGTGGTGCACCCACGCGCAGGGTGTGACTCGGGTGTGTGAGGCCGGGTTTGTTTGCACATGGTCATCTGCCGGCAGAGAAACTGAGGCCTGGAGCTGACTGTGCAGCCAGTCGTGGTGCCGTCACTCTGCAAGGCGCCCGCCGGCCTGGCGGTCCCGCTCGATGGCTTCTCGCAGCGCAGCTGTCTTTACGCTCGCTGCTGAGCGGTGACCATGGTATCTCAGCCTCCCGACGAGCGTTCTCTGCGAGCTAGTGAACCCCGCTCGGGTACCCCTGCAGCCGTCCTGTGTCTGAGCCTCTGCTGGGGACCTGCGTGGGTTCATACCTCTGTCTTCACATGTGTGGGGAAAAGGAAAACCCGTATCGGTGTCAGCAAGTGTCCCAGATCAGATTTTTGGTTCTCTCTGTGAATCGCAGAATGATGCCAGGGTTCTGTAACATGAGGTGAACCCCACCGTCATGGTGAACCAGGACGTTCCACTGCCGTCTCGCGGCCTTGTCCCCGTCTTTCCCACACTAACGTGAGCTCTCCCTCTTGTTGCAGGTGCACTTTTCGATTCCCCAGCACGGCCATAAAGATCCAGTTCACATCACTGTACCGTCAGGAAGAGGCCCCGGCGTCTCCCCTCCGGCCCCTCTACCCGCAGATCTCCCCTCTGAAGATTCATATTCCGGAGCCGGATCTCCGCAGCTTGGTCAGCCCCGTCCCGTCCCCAACCGGCACCATCAGGTGAGTGGCTGACTCCGGCCTGGCCACACGCCCCCCCCCTCCACAGCACCAGGGTCCCCCCTGCTCTGGCCATCTGTGTGAGAAGCAGGATGAGGACACAGGTGACTCAGTAGGTCTCTGGAAAATTGCAGGGGGATGGAGATTTTGTAACTATTTTAAGTGCATCGAGGGACCTGACAACTTAAAGAACATCTCTGGAGAATTCTCTCATAGAGTGAAGAGTCCCTACAGCATTAATCACTTTCCCAGTTTGCAGTTCTGTGTCTTAGGGGCTTTCTTTAAAAGAAGCACAGGTATGATTGCTTTAAAGGCATTGACAATATTTTAAAGTAATCTGTGCATGCCAGGATTTGAACTTTGTTTTGCTAAACTTTATGAAATTTAAGGACTTGATCTAGAGTCTGAAGGAGAGAGAGTTCTCAAACGTTCCCGTCCTTGGTGTGGTGTACAGAGAAACCTTAGGGGAAGGTTTCGGGGAGATCCCCGTAGAGAGGGACTAGCTGGCTCTCGACTCCGTGTCCCGCCCTCTCCCTCTGCTGGTGCCACGGCTCGGGCCCCGGCACTGGCAGCTTCCCCCATGGCTGGTGCGTCATCAGTGCAAGTGTCAGACCTGGAAAAAAAGGCAGGTCGTGTCTGAGTCTGGTTTTGCCGCCACATACCTCCTGCAGGGGTCAGTCCTCAGGGGTGCCTCTGAGCCACACTTGGAAAACCGATGCTCCTCGGGCGGGAGCTTTGCTGTCCCCACAGCCTTCTGGTCGGACGCCGTGCCTTCCCTTGACAAGCGGGCACGCTCTGGTGGTCCTCGTGTTCTCCTCATGTTCTAGGACCGTGTGTCACTCGGTCTGTGACAGTCATGCCTCACTGCTGTTTTCCTGCTGGGACGTGTTGCGGACACGTTGGGAACAGTTTGCTTTGAGCTGGTTGGAGCCCGCGTCCTGCAGAACCAGGGAAGAGGCGTGTCCCTCTCTCACGGAGAGAGTGGTAGGCACAGCGCTGATCATGGCGTGGCCTCGAACTCAAGGCTGGCCCCCAGTTCTGGTTCTGGCTGTGTAGCCAGTTGTGGGAGAGCCAGGGGCCTCGCTGGGCCTTGTTTTCCTCGTTGTAAGGCCAGAACGCAGATGTCCCGGCTCTGGGAGACGGGGAGGAGTGGCAGCTCTCTGAAAGCCGTGCGTGTGTTCGGTGCTGTGCTCAGCGCAGTTCGTGCGGCGTCTCAGGTGCTCCTTCCGCTCCCTTCAGGTTTCTAGAAGGGCTCTGCTCTAAAGCCCCAGATTGAGCGTGTGATCTCATTGTTATTTCAGACGGCTAGCTGGACCTTGATCTAGGGCACGAGCTTTATGCTCACGCTGTGAAAATGTTCCTGCACGTACTTATCTGTAATTTATCCACGGATAAATAGTCATACGAGGGGAGATGAGGTGGGCCCTGTGGACGACGCTCTGCCTCTTCCTCACACGGCTCACGGGCCGCCCGCGACCCAGCAGCTCACCGGAGCGGGAGGTCCAGGCAAGAACTCGCGCACGAGGGCTCAGGGCATCACTATTCCTAATAGCCACGAAGCAGGAGCGACTCGGTGTCTGTCAGCTGGTGAGCGGCTAGGTCAGATGTGGACTGTTCACGGTGGAATGTTACGTGGCCATAAAAAGGGATGAAGTGCTGACACCTGGCAGAGCGTGGCTGCCCCGTGGAAACGGGATGCGGAGTGAAGGCAGCCGAACGCGAAGGACCGCACCCCGGTACGATGCCGTTGATAGGAAACGCCTGGAACAGGGGATCTCGGGGAAGGCAGCAGGCGGGCAGCTGTGGGGGCTGGGGGTCGGAAGGCGTGCCCACCAGCTGTACGGCCTTTGTTTCTGGGGTGACAGTGGAAACGCTTGGGACTCAGTGGTGATGGTTGCTGACTCTGTGAGTACCCCAGAAACCCCTCAGTTGTACTCTAAATGGGGGACTTATCTCAGTGAAGCTGATACAAGACCTGCCTGTCCTGACACCTTCACCCAGAGCAGCCTAAACCGGCTGCGGGCACACAGACCAGCGGTGTCCCACGCCCATGCCGCTGGCCGCTGGGGGCCGGTCCTGGGTGGCGTGGGGGTGGCCGTGGAGGGCCCTCGGCACCCAGCAAACCCCGGGCGGGCCGTCAGTGTGGCATCGTTAATAATCGGGGTATGATCCAGCCAGATAGACACTAAGAAAGAAAAATGTATTGGTTTGTACCTGGAGGGCTTCAGAAAATAAATATATTTCCCAGGAATATTTCAAATCAAAACAGTAGCCAGCTGGGTAAGATATTCAAGCCAGGCTCTGCGTCCTGACGTTGCTTTTGTGTTGGACGGGAGGCCGGAGCTGGAAGCAGTTCGGGGAGGTGTGGACCGAGCGCAGGTAGGAGCTCGGCAGGTGCGGCTGGAGCTGTGCTGAGCTCGGGTGCGTGTGAGGGGCCAGTCCCCGGGCCCGGGTGGGTGGGGGCGCTGTGTCCCACCTCCCCCCTCCCGCTTCTCCTTTTCATCTGGCGGAAGATGTGGGGAGAAAGTAGCCACTGTGGGACTGGCCCTCTCTCCCTTTTTGGCCTTGAAGTATCAGAGAGGGACTTCTGTTTACATCCGCTTATCTTAGTGCAGTGGAATCCAATTTAGAAACCTCAGAGGCCCTTGTGGTTTCACTTGCCAAGATCCTGTTCAACTTCTGGGCTGTTGCAGGGGTGGAGCCTCGTGTTTACAAACACCCGCCACCCCTCCTCTCTGCCCTGGGACGCCCCCCCGACCTCCCCACCCCCGCAGCGACCGAGGAGGGGAACAGGGCTGAGGGCTTGGCTCCGCAGGGCGGGGGGGGGGTGGGGGGAGGGCCTGGCACCCTGCGCCCAGCCGGCCTGCCTGGCCTGCACAGCTGTCGTCCGTCCCTCTGACGACACAGCGGGGGGGGGGGGGGGGGTGGAGCGCGCCTCTTCTCCTAGTTTGGTGTGCCTGCTTCCCGCTCTCGCCATTGGCCAGCTCACCCGGGCCACCTGGGGGCCTTGGTCTGGGTCGCTTTCCTGCCCGGACCCGGTTTCTCCAGCACCCTGGCCTGAGCCCCTGTCCCCTCCAGGGTTTTCCGAGCAGCGGTCCCGGGAGGAACATTCTCGAGAATAAACAGCCCCGCCCCGCACTCCGACCCGCCTGCCTGCCTTTCTGTTTGGCCTTTTTCTGCTTCCCCTGCCAGCCAGGGGGTGTGGCTCGCCTGTGGTTGGGTTTGTGTTTTGTTTTGGGGCGTTTGTTTGTGTTTTGTTTCTTTTTTGTTGATGTACTCCACCCAGAAAATGAATGAATGCTCTTTGAAATAAATTCTGCTGTCTTCAGCAGCATTTTATTGACTTTTTTTTTTTCGTTTTGCAAAGAAGTGGTGTTTTTAGGAAGGAGAAATCAGTTCACCATTTTCTGGGTTTTACAAAATGAGAGACCAATCTATAAAGAGCTCTTGGAGCTAGGAGTTTTAGGGACAGAACCGAAATGAAGCCAGAGGAAGGAGGCAGGCAGCACAGGAGGAGGAGAGCTGGTCTTTCCCAAGAGCCAGACTTTACAAGCTGTTTCTTTAAGAAGCCTTTCCTCGCCTTGATTTTTTTCCAGGTAGAGCTCAAAAACCAGAGTAATTTGTGTTGTGAAATCTGGCAAAGTGTAAGCCACTGACTTCAAACTGAAACCGCCCTTGACTGTGGTCCCCAGGCGCATTTCCCCCCCATCGGTGGTTGGAGCTCGGCTGCCCTCCCCTCCGGTCCGGTCCATCCGGGAGAAGTGCTTCCGTTTTTCCAGCCGACTGGGGCCCTTCCTTGGGGTGACGTTCCCTGCGTCACAGCTCCCAGCCCGGCCTCCAGATGCTTCTTGTAATGCCAGCAGGGGCCCTCGCCCGCTGATCCGTTGGTCCAGGAGCCCCATCGTCTGTGGCTCACCTGGGGCCACTTTCCTTTCCAACACCTCTCCTGTGGACTTCACACCCCCACCCGGTCCCTTTCCCTGCCGAAAGCTCCGAGAAATAAAAATCGGTTCATCCACACAGAAAGGTGGGCCCTCCACCTTCTTTGTATTTTCCCTTCTGCCGAAATCCGTGCCAGGATGTATTTTGGCTCTAAAATGTTGAGAGAAAGTTCTTATCTTCACTGGGGTGGCCCTTTCCCTGTTCTTGGGCACATCTCACGGGGGCCCCTTGGTTCCTGCTTCGTGTGTTCTTGGCCGTGCCTTCTGGGCGACGCCCGGCCTGTGTGCACTGCTGTGCCCGCGTGGGCACATGACCCGGCAACGGAGGGCCCTTCCCAGGCCTCACACTCTGGGAAGCAGGAAGAACCTGGAGGGCAGGGGCTGAGGGGGGCATTCCCCCAAGGTCTGCACCGGGCAGGCCGCCCCTCGGGGGGTGTGTGCCTGGTGAGGTCCGGGCTGAGGAGCAGCTCGGGCCAGTTTGCTGACTGCTGGGCACAGGGCAGAGTGCGTTTCAGAAACGAGTTAGGCTTTTGAAATAGCTTCCCAGGATTTCACAGCATCGCATTTATCTTAAGCATTCCTTAAGAACGGTCTCAGAAACTGGCCTCTATGGATTTTCTTTCCCTGTTCTCTTATTTTTTTTTTTCCTAGATTACAGAAATACTGTGTATGCATTATACAGAACTCAAACATTTTGGAAAATGAAGCTCCCCCACCCTGCTGCTCCCAGGACAGGTCATGGGGTGCGTCTCCTCTACACGTTCCCGACGGCCGCTCTCATGGGGGCTGCTGTGGGTCCCTCCTCCGCAGGAAGGCCCCGTAGAGTCCAGTGTCCTCCCGCGGGCTTTTTCTCCTTTCCCACTGGGTCGTGGGCGCCTTTCCGAGTCACCGCTCTGCAGGGGCTGGAATTGGCTTCCCGAGCTTCCCACTGGGGGTCCACGGGCCGTGTCCAGTGTCCTGCCCTCAGGGGCGGCCCTTCCCAAACGTCTGCACATCTTACACGGAGGCAACACAATTCTCAGATTTGGTTATTTTGTTGAAAATATGCTCTTTGAGAGTCACGAGCCCTGGGATTTTAGGGCAGTAATGAGGCTAGGAGCCATTACTGGCCCCCACGCCAGGCGTCTGCCGGCACCAGCCGGGCGGTGCTGTGGCCCGTTCCCAGATGGGACACCGACGCCCGGAGACCAGATGCCACCCGCAGGTCCGTGCTCCGTGCCACGGCGGTGGCGCCAGCCTCGTGCATGCCGCTGAAACTTAAAACAGGTGGTTTTTATCAAAGGGATCCGTGCACGTGGTAGAAGAACCTAAACGCGCCCCGAGGGGGCACCGCGGGGACGGTCCCCGGCCGCCTCCGGGCTACGCTGGTGTTGGCTCACTTCGGCATGGCCCACTGCACGCCTCTCGGCTTCTCGGTGTTCCTCGTAGTGACGTCCCCGGTGGGGAGTTGGGGTTTTGTCTTCTCTCCCCACCCCGGGACCTCAGGACCGTTGGGCCCGTGCTTCCTGCAGCACCCACGGTTTCTCACTCGTGCTCTGGCCACTCCTGCCCCGGGCGGGGGAGGGACTGAGGGCCTGTTCACTGTGTTTGGTTCGGTCCCCTGTCCCTGTGACCCGACCCGCACATCCCCCCACCGCCCCCGCGAACATCTGTCGCGCGGACCTGCTGGGAAGGCCTTCCTTGAGAGCCCGGTCTCCCTTGGCCTGGACCCAGCCTGGGGCACCTCTGACCCTGCAATTGGACCCCCGGGCAGTCCAGGATCTCCCTCTGCCCAGTCTTTCCCTTTCCCCGATCTGCTCCTCGGTTTTATTGGGGAACATTCTCCAGTTGCTTTCTGGAAATGGGTACAGGACAGGTGAACGAAAATCACAAGAAATCTTCCAGGCCTGAAAATCATTGTTTTTCTCCGTTCACACTAGATGAAAGGTTTCACTAGTGGAGAATTCTCGGGGGGACACATTTTTCCCTCATAACTTAAAGTCACTTTCTAGCTTTGAGTGTTGCCATTAGAGAGTGTGGTGCCCCCCACCCCCACCCCCGGCTCTTGGACCGGACGTTTGTCCTCTGAGCACGCAGTGTCCCTGTGTCCCCACCTCCACCAGCACGTCTGCAGCGCTAGGAGCTGACCTTACTGTTTCCAGGGAGCCTCCCCTCATGCTCTTACCCCTCGCCGCTTTCCGTGGGCTCTGGGGGGGCTCTGGGGGGGGCTGTCCTCCCACCCTTCACTGAACTTCTCTTTCTCCTCTTTTTAAAATTCGAAGAACGTTTCCCCGTCCTCCATAAGTGCCTTAGCGGCCTTCTCACCAGCTAATCAACGCGGTCTCTGCCCTTCTGGGGTCAAGGCCACGCTCCGTTTTGCTGTTTCACACCCCCCGCCCCGTCTGTGAGGGCAGTGCCCTCAGCAAAGCTGGGGAGATTAGGAGGCAAGGCTGTAAATTCACTGAAATGGTGTTTCAATAAGAAATGATACTTTAATCGAAGCACTTACTTTGTAGAATAAAAAGATCCTAGTTTTCAGAAGAGTTCAAAAGGCATGAATGAAAAACAGAATTACCACTTACCTCTATGTATTCATCAAAAGTATGATCTTCTGCCTGAAAAGCCTTTCGGCTCAGCTGCCATCCCATTGCGCTAATTCTGTTTTTTTGACTGAAAATTAATAATCTAATTAAAATCTCAGTAACACTCCACTCCAAAAAGACTGAGCTTCCAGAAAACCATCTGGATGATCTCTGAGGTGGTGGTGTGGGGCTGGGGCCCAGGGAGGGGTTCCAAGTGGCCCCTCCTGGGGGCTGGGTGGGGCGGTAGAGCGTAGACACTCCCAGAACCTTCCTGGGCCCACTGTTTGGGGCGCAGGGTCCGGGTTCTCTAGATGAGAGCCCCGGGGCGGTCCAGGGAGGGGAGAGGACCTGACCACGCCTTACAGACTTCAGCCCGGCCTCTTCTTCCGGCTCCCTCCCTCCCCCCACCCCCACACCTGGGTGCTCCCAGGTGCCCACTCTGATCTCAGGGCCGTGCGGTCCGAATCCCAGGAGGCTGGCATGGGAGGAAAATGCTTACAGCCCCAGGGCAGACCAGGCTGGGCAGGCATCTGAGTCGGGGTGGGGGCCTGGCGGAGCTTCGGGGCATCCTGGAGGGGTGGCAATGGGTGCCACGGAAAATGCTCACTGCGGGCTCCAGGGACGGACGTGGTTGGCCAGCCTTCTGTCCCATTGGTTTTTCTCAGTGTGAATTCTTACTGTCATAGTGAGACCTGAAGATACCTTTTCCCACCAGGCTGTTCATTCTTTTCCAGTATCTGTAAACATAGGACGCAGAGTCATCGCCAGGCATGATTTGCATGGTCGCAGAGGTCCCGTCCTGGGCCTGGGCGGTCACAGAGCCAGCTTGGGTTTGCCCCGCTGCGACAGCCTGTGACCGCCGCCCCCCAGACCGTAAGCTTCTCTCTCCTGAAACAGAAATGTGACTTAGCTATATTCCCACAAAAGGGGCAATCAGCGACGGATGGTCTAAAGTGCACATTCCACTGCATTTCCACCTAGAATCTTGAATCAGGAAGAACAGGCATTTATTTAGTGCGATGTCTGTAGGGGGCGGCTCCTCGGCCCCGGCTGCTTCCCTGTGTGCCCAGATGCAGGCTTCCCACACACCTGGCCGGGGGGGTGGGGGGACACAAAGGGAGCAGTTCTTTGCCTAAGCCTGGCTGGTTCAGTCAGGAGAGTGTGCAGCTCTTAACCTCGGGGTCGTGAGTTCAAGCCCCACGTTGGGCGTGGCGTCTACTCCAAAAGCCAAAAAGTTTTTTTTCCAGCTTTTGCAAGCAATGAGGGAGATTTTCAGTCGGGTAGGGTACAGCTCTGCTATGGGACGCTGAGTGTCTTGGTGGGTTTCCCCAGGGTGGGAGCCTTGCTGAGCCCCAGGGCCCCCGGACCCCCATCTCACACCTGCCCCCGAGGCCCATCTTGGACTGAGCTCACGTGGCATCTCCTTTCGTCCTTCTCTTCAGATGGTGGTGCGACATCAGGGCGGCCGGGTGCCAGGAACAGCCCTCCCAGCACAGACCGGCCTGCAGGGACAGCAGAGTGGGGCTCACGGGGAAGCTCGCTGCCCCGAGGCCAGAAAGGCTGTGCGCACAAACACACGTTCTGGGTGGGCCTGCTGGGCAGCTCTGGGGTCCTGGCCGGTGACCAGCTGCGCTCCGTCCCCACCGAGCTTCCCCACAAGCGCTTGCCGGCAGGAGCCACCCAGTGGCCCCTGCGCGCGCTCCCCGGTGGATTATTCCCGTTGGAAATCATTCTTTGGTGAATGGCAGCGTTTTCTCTGGGTTTTGCCTCTGAGAGTTAGAGGTAAATTTTCTGCACTCTTCTGCAGAATAGTGACCTGTGGCAGGCAGAACGGACCCGTGTGTCTAAGCCCAGAGGTCGCGTGTGTCCTTGCCACTGGTAAGGGCGCCTGGTCAGTGTCAGGCAAGGTCAGGAAGCCACCTGCCCCCTGGTCGGGTGTGACTCTGTCTCCGGGAGTGACGGTTCTCGTCCCTTGTGGTGTGACGCGCAGCGGGTGTTGGGTGTGTGGGAACCGAGCGGGCTGACGGGGCCGCGATGCACCAGGGCGTCCTGCGCTTCAGCACCGTCAGGCAGAGCACAGTGCAGAGAATCTTCGGGACACACTCCTCACTTTGGGGCCGCATGACCTTTGAATCACAGCTCCAGGCCGCGTGTTGGTGGCGTTTGGTCCCAAATGGCTGCATGTGAGAAGCCTGTTTCTGAGTGTGTGAATGTTCCCGCCCTAATGTTATAAGCTTGGGTTTTGTATATTTGGTTCCAAATGAAGTTAAGAAAAAGCTGTTTTTATTACTGTTTCCTGCCTTTACCAAGCCTGTTTATATTGTTGATCACAGGCTCTGTTCACTCCTGTCTCTGCCATATCTGGGGAATCCAGCGGAGCCCTCGAGATCCCGGGCACCCGGGTGGCTCCACAGAGGGACAGAGGGGAGGATGCAAGAGCACGTGGGGCGTGTTCGGAAACCTGGGGCCTTCTGGATGGTTCCTGGTGGGGTGCTGGCCTTGGGGAGCTCTCCTGAGGGCAGAGGCCTGGGTCCTCTGTGACTTTAGGGAGGCAGGGCGAAGTGGCCTTGTCCCTGCTCCGCGGGCCGGGGTCGGTGGGGGGAGGGGCGCCTGTGGTCCGCGTGAGGCTGGCCATCGCGGCTCCGGTCAGCTCCCAGCAGGGGCACCTTTTACTGGGCTTGTTACCTCTAGCGTTTGCATTGGTTTCCTCTGAATATTTTGTAACAGAATTAGTTTTCAGAATCAGAATTTCATTGTCGTTTGATGACCAAAGTCCATCTTGTTAATAGCAGGCGCTGCACCACGCCTGTCGCTGCTGAGCTGGGCCAAGTGAGCTCCAGCAGGAAGCGGGCCAGGGACCCTGCAGCCCGGCACCGGCCAGTATGTGCTCAGGACCCGCTTGAGCCATGGGTGTGTCCGGCCTGTATATTTGGCCGCAGTTTCCCACCTCCGATTGGCAAGGCAGCCCCGGAGGGAGACAGCCGGTGTGGGCCGCAGAGGCCGAAGCCGAGGGCCCGCCCCAGAGGTCCTTGAGCCCTCTCTCAGGGCCGGTCTTCCCAGCCTTGGCCCACGGCGCCCTCGTGTGGACAGTGAGCACGCTCCGCCCCGCCTGCCTTGCGGGTGGTGCCCTTCGGGCCCAGGCTGTGTGCGGTGGGGAGCGGGGCCCACTGGGTGGCTGCCGTGTAAACCTGGTTCTCAGGACCCACAGCTCCCACCGCGAGCAGAAACCGCTGCTAGATACCACACATCACGCCGGCCACGCGTGGAGGCCGGCTGTTCTCTGGCTGCACTCGGTCCGTCCTTGATCGGCGGCGAGATGTGGCGTCGTGACAACACACGGAGGAAAGGGGTCGGATTTCCCTGTGAGCCTGCATCGCCCAGCATCGCCCATCCTGTGACGTCAGGCTCTCCTTTGCAGGGTCATGAGCTCAGGACGTGTCGTTTCTCTCCGCAGTGTTCCCAACTCCTGCCCGGCCAGTCCCCGTGGGGCCGGGTCGTCCGGCTACCGCTTCGTTCAGAACGTGACCTCGGACCTGCAGCTGGCCGCAGAGTTTGCCGCGAAGGCCGCCTCAGAGCAGCAGACAGACACGTCCGGGGGCGACAGCCCTAAGGTGCCAGGCCTCACGGCGCACGTGGCAGAGCATGGGCACACACAGGGCTGCTCTGGTGGGCGCGGCGGGCTTGCGGGTGCTGGCGAGACGAGGGGCCGCGCTCGGGGGCCGGACGGCGGCCCTCCGCCGGAGAGCGCACTTTGCTCCTTCACTGACGTCGCCCTGAGGCCCCGGGGACACTGCCCTTTCCCGCTCTGCACCTCCTCCGTGGTCTGTCCTCGTCCCGTGCGTGGGGGACAGGACGGCTTCAGGGTTTTTCCTTACAGCTTTCGTATCTTAGTTCACGCTCCTCTGATACCTGTCTTTAAGTCAATTTGCAGAGGAAGTGAGAAATTTCAGAACTAAATTATGATGAAAACCTGGGGCCGGAATGGCTGTCCCTCGTTGAGTGCACACACATTGGCGAGACGGGTGGCGGTCCCTGGGCCTGAGTTCGGTGGGCACGCCGCTGCCCTCTGTCCTGACCGCTGGGGCCCTCTGCAGGAGCGGGGTACACGGCTGGTGGGGCTTGCAAAGCCTGCCGGGGCTAACGGCGCGCTGCCTTTGTCCTCAGGATGAGTCGAAGCCGCCGTACTCGTACGCTCAGCTGATCGTGCAGGCCATCTCGTCCGCACCGGACAGGCAGCTAACACTAAGCGGGATCTACGCCCACATCACCAAGCATCACCCTTACTACCGGACGGCTGAGAAAGGCTGGCAGGTGAGGCCCGAGCCCAGGAAGCCGGGTGCCCAGCCCACTGTGGCGGGACAAGAGAGTCAACGGGCAGGTCATTTTCTGTGGGACAGAGTGGTCCAGGGATGTCTCCGCTGATGGCCTGTGGCGCATCTGAACTCAGCGACTGGCCCCAGGGTGTCCAAATAGCCTTCTCCCCCTCCAACGTCCAGAGAAGGGAGGGTTAGTTCCTACACCTTGCAGTGTTTTCACACTTACCATGCCTTCCGATCCTGCGCTGTGTTGGAAATGGACCATGCACGTGTACTGGGACCATCAGACCTCGTGTCACGCTTGTTCTGGGACGTTCTCCCCATGGTTGCTCTTTCCCTCTGGCCAGTTGACTTAGTACGAGTTCTGACCCACATACTCCTAGGCCGTGGCTTGTCTTTCTGTTTCACTTTTTCTACAAGGAACGCTGTGCTGAATTTTGTTAGGAAAAGCCACCACTGTGCCTTGGTACTTCCTGGTAGAATCCAGTGACCTTGACACCCCCTGGAGCGCCCTTGTCAGCGCGAACGCTGGGCTGTCCCATCACCTCTGGTCTCGTGTCTGTTAACGTTCAGATGCAGTTTGTTTTCTGACTTGCTAACTGACGAGTATCTCTTCTTGCCCACAGAATTCAATCCGACACAACCTCTCTTTGAACCGTTACTTTATTAAAGTCCCTCGTTCCCAGGAGGAGCCTGGGAAGGGGTCTTTTTGGCGAATAGACCCTGCCTCAGAAGCGAAGCTCGTGGAACAGGCATTCCGAAAACGGAGGCAGAGGGGCGTCTCCTGTTTCCGCACCCCGTTCGGGCCTCTGTCGTCCAGGTAAGCCCCTGCTCTGCTCCTCGGTCAGCATCCTGGCTCCCCCACACGTCCGCATTCACGGAAGTGTCTTTGGCACTGTAAACGTGGCACCTTTGTGTTTTTGAGCGAGACGATGTCAGGACAGTAAAGTTAGTAGGCGGACCACTGGCTGCGCCTTGGACGTGTCCGTTCTCAGAAGCCGAGACACAGGCGGTGGTGGGAACAGACCCTAAAACCAGAGAGGAGTGGAAGGGGCCTGCAGGGTTCTGTGGAAGCTGGCAGGGGGACCGACCGAGCAGGTCTGGTCGAGCTCAAGCACGCTGTCATTAACGAAGCCGACATCAGGATGTGGCCGCCATCTGCCCTCTGGTCGGGGCCCCTCCCGCTCCATGTGCGCGCGGCCAGCCTGGTCCATCGGGCCGAGCTGCACGTGGACAGGCCCAGAGGTCTTCCCAAGGCCACCAGTCCAGGCAAAACATGGGGCAAGAGAGGGCAGATGCTCTCCGTTGGCACCTGGCGCTTTCCACCTCGTCGTGTAGCAAATGTGATTCCGTGAAAGGCTGCTCAGACATCCAGAAATGTCTCGTACAGGGTCTGCGGTGGTTCTCGGTGCCGTAGCCAAAGTAGAAGTTGGAAGAGAGGTGACAGTCATGGTGGTAAGGTAGGAATTCAGAACGTTTCAGCTGAGCTCAGAGTTTCCAGAACACCACACTGCTTGAACAGGGCTTGGAGAGAAATGTTGCTAGAGTAGCTGAGTTTGCTAGGGCTGCAGTGGGGGCCTACAGGCCTGGCGGCCGGCTGCGCCTCTCTCACGCTGGTGTGGCCAGAGGTCACGGTGGCAGCGGGGTGCGCGCCTCCGAGGCGTGAGGGCGTCTGCCCCAGGCCTCTCCAGCGCCCCTGGGCTCGTGCAGGCAGCTCCCTGACCTCTGCCTTCATCTCCCCTGCCATTCTCCCCGAGCGTGTCGGTGTCTCGATTGCCTCTTTGAGGACATCGGTCACTGGGTTAGGGACCATCCTACCGACTCCAAGGTCCCCTTGTGAGGCACGGGTGACTTCTGGGGACACAGTCCCGCCCGTAACAGTGACCGCCACGACATTGCACTTGTTAGATCAGCCTGTCGGCCGGCTAGGGGAGCAGTTCCGGGGCTGGCTCTGTGCGCCCAGCGCTGCCCAGGGAGCCCTGATAAGGGGTGTCTCTGGAGGACGATGAGGTGGGCCCGTCTTCACGGTCACTCTGGGAGTGAGGGACACAATCTCATGAATCTGCATAGTGGCAGGCAGGAAATTCTTGGGCCCAGGAGGAAGCTGTGTGAGCTGTGTCTTAAGGAGAGGGAGGGACTCTCATGGCTGCAGAACCTGGATTTTTTTAGGAGGGAGGCAGTGGGTGTGTTTGTGTTGGGTGGGAGGCAGGTAGGAGGCAGGGTAGACTTGGTGCAGCGTTAAAGAGGGGCTGCCAGGAATTTGGGCTCCTGAGGTCAGAAGGAAGGCTGTCATAGGCTCGGGGGCTGGGAGGGACCTGGGTGTGAGCAGACGGGCTCCAGGCCTGGGTGGGAGGCAGACGAGCCAGCTGAGAGGTGGGAGAAGCAGGAGGACTTGAGGGCAGGGGGCGGGGGAGGGTGCCAGGTCTGTGCCCGAGGAGACCAGGGCGCCCACAGCACCCCCGTGTCTGGAGAGGCAGACGGTGTTTACTGTGGCTGGTGATAAACGCAGAGCAAAGACTGCTGCCCCCAGGCAGCCCCAGCGTCCTGCCTTGGAGAGTTTGCGTTGACCCTGGGATTCTGTTCGCGGGACCGTGCGTCCCCACGCTGCGCAGCCGGCCCCCGGCCAGCCCCAGCAGGGCACGAGCTGGACCACAGTGCTCTGTTTTAGAACCTAGGCGAACGGTGACGGAGGGAGCAGCCTTCCCCGGACTATTAGCCGTGCAAGCCGAATAGCCGGGCGCCCAAAGCCGATGTGCTCCTTCGGCCGTGGGCCTGTCCTGGTGGGAAATTCGCGCCCATCCCACCAAAGCCTATGTCTTTAACGCTTTCGTGGAGGACCGGCTGGTCCCCTTCAGGAAGTAAGTGCTCTGGGAAGATAACGCAGCGTCCTATCGGGTAGCTCGTTGCCACCGCGGAACGTTATGTTAGTGGTGGAAACACCTCACGAGGACAGAGAAGCACCAGGAAAGGCTGATGAGGTGCCGTGTGGCGTGGATGTTGGCATGTTTGTGTTTTGCGAAACACCACTTTCGTTTGACCTTGTGTACTCACTACCACGGTCCTTCTCTTGTTCCTTCCGCAGGAGTGCTCCAGCTTCACCCACTCACCCTGGGCTAATGTCCCCTCGTTCTAGTGGCCTGCAGACCCCAGAGTGCCTGTCTCGAGAGGGCTCACCCATTCCACACGACCCTGACTTTGGGTCAAAGCTAGCTTCTGTTCCAGAGTATCGCTATTCCCAAAGCGCACCTGGTAAGAATGCTCTTGTCCCTCCTCCTGGCGTGGCAGAGCGGAGCCTCGCGTGCCCGCGGGCCTTAGAGGTCGCGCTCCTTCTCGTGCAGGCTCTCCGGTCAGCGCCCAGCCGGTGATCATGGCCGTGCCTCCCCGGCCGCCCAGCCTGGTGGCCAAGCCCGTCGCCTACATGCCAGCATCTCTAGTGACGGCACAGCCGCCCTCGGGCCACGCGATCCACGTGGTGCAGCAGGCCCCCCCCGTCACCATGCTCAGGGTGGTCACCACCTCCGCCAGCTCTGCCAACGGGTACATCCTTGCCAGCCAGGCCTCGGCAGGGGGCGCCCACGAGGCGGCGGGCACAGCCGTGCTGGACCTGGGCGGCGAGGCCAGAGGTAACGCGGTCGTGCGCTCACCGGGCTGGGATGGGTACGGCCGTCCTTGGTCTCCAGGACGGAGCCCGGCAGCCTGGGCCACGGGGCGCAGCGCCCACGTGCTGGGGCCACAGGCCGTCCCTGGGGGCCGATGGTTCTCAGGCTGCCGCCTTTCCTCCCTGCTACTTGCATTTTTGGGGGGTGCATGTCCTTTTAAATCCTCACCAGTCGTCCTCCAAAGCGTGCCCTCCTTGGGTGGTGGCGCCTCCAGGTGCGCAGCCCCCGAGGTGACAGCCCTGCGTCACGGGCTTGAAGTTGTGGTCTGGAGGGTGATTGCTCTGGAACCTCCAGCCGGGAGTCCTTAAAAGTCACGTAAAATAAAAAGTCGCCGCAGAGTCCTACGTTGGGCGTCTCGGGCCCAAGGGGTCATGGGTCAATACTGAAAATGCAGCCAATACGGCGGGAGCCCCGGCGGGAGCCCTTGAGCCGCACACGGTCTCCTGGGCTCCCGGGCCTCCACCTGCTGGCCCCGGCAGCCCATTCATAGCGTCACGATGACGAAGCATTTTGGAGAAAGAAGACCAGGGCTCCAAGTGCCGATCTTTTCATTCCAAATGACGTTTTCTTTCTCCGATTACGTTTGGGTTGATTAAAGTTCAGGGTACTTAGATGTTTTTCTAAAACCCTAGTAATCGTTTTTTTCTTGTTTGGAATGTGTTTCATTGGTGGGATGTTTCTTTTGAGAATAGTCGACGCTTCAAAACCGCGGTCTGTTCCCCCCATAAACAGACTCCCTGCTGAGCACAAAGAGGGCGGGCTGCCCCGACAGGCGGACGGGGCTCTGACACGCCTTCTCCCCGCAGGCCTGGAAGAGAAGCCCACCATCGCGTTCGCCACCATCCCCGCCGCCAGCCGCGTCATCCAGACCGTGGCCAGCCAGATGGCCCCGGGTGTCCCCGGACACACGGTCACCATCCTGCAGCCAGCCACGCCGGTGACCCTCGGGCAGCACCACCTCCCTGTCCGGGCCGTCACTCAGAACGGGAAGCACGCGGTCCCCACGAACAGTTTAGCCGGCAGCACTTACGGTGAGGCCCTGTCCACACCTGCTCGGCTCAGCCCCGCCGGTCCGCCCGTGGTGCCCATGGTGTGTCCACTCAACCCAGTGGTCCCCTCGCTGCGGCCGGCTTATTGAGCATCTGCGCCCCGCGGGCAGTGGGGTCAGGCCGAGGCCCGAGCCCTGCCGCGGAGGGAGATGGCCACGTCACAGCGCTCGTGCCCCGCTGGGTCAGACGAGAGGTCAGAGGAAAGGGAGGAAGGGAAGCAGTTGGAGGTGGGCAGGGAGGGTAGGCGCGCACGGAGCAGGGGTGCGGCTGCCGGGAGGGTGGCGGGGGTGTTCAGTGTGCGTGGGGTGGTTCAGGGCAGGCGGCCCGTGTTAAGCACCTGCTAGAGGTGAGGGCAGGAGCCCTGGCTGTCTGCAGGGGTGTGAACGGCTGCAGCAGAGGAGGTCCCGGTACACGGGGGGCGGGCACCCAGGGGCCGGGCATGCTGGGAGCCAGGGTCCACTGTGGCCCACCTGGCCTCGCGCAGTGAGTGCGCGTGCTCAGAGCTCGTCCGCGCTGGTCCTCACCCGATCCCAACGCAGATCTCTCTTTTCTCCACTCCTAGCCCTCACGAGCCCCCTGCAGCTCCTGGCGGCCCAGGCTAGTTCGTCCACGCCGGTGGTGGTCACACGGGTGTGCGAGGTGGGGCCCGAGGAGCCGGCGGCAGCGGCCGCCACCCCAGCGACCCCGGCCACCGCTGCCACCTCTGCCTCTTCCACCGGGGAGCCCGAGGTCAAAAGGTCACGCGTGGAGGAGCCCAGTGGGACTGTGACGGCGCAGGCCGGCGTGATTGCGGCCGCCGGCCCGCAGGGACCCGGAACCGGGGAGTGAAGTCACCTGCGTGTCGGCTGAGTGGGATGCTCGCCAGAAGGGATTCTGGAGCCGGGCCCTGACCGCCGGCCTCCTGCCGCCTGTGGACCGTGACGTGGAGGCTCCACGCTGACCTGCGCACGTGCCGAGCGGACAGGGCGGCCTCCACCCGCCTGCACCCGGACACGCTCGTCCTCCTTGTTCTGTCTCCTGCCCCTGCTGTGGTTTAAAACAAAACACATAAACAAGTTCAGACAGCTGATTGTACGATTCGGGAATGCTTGTTTTTATTTTCCTTCTCCCTCACACCGTCTTCTCTCCCAGGCCTGTGGTCGAGGGCTGGATCACGGGCCGACCCGGCCACGTGCAGAGGCGAGGCTTCCAGAGCAGCCTTCGGCCCCGAGGACGGACAGAGGCCTGCACGGGAGGGGCCGGCGGGCATAAGGCCCGTCGGCCGAGTGGGAGGAGGCCGGAGAGAGGCAGGACCTGTCAAAGCTCAGACTGTTGTGGGCTTTTCGCCCTAAAATAGTGACCTAGAAAGTCTTGGCATTAATCGGGGAGAGGGGGATCTGGTTTGGCTTTGGACCCCAAATACTTCCTGTCTTGTTGAAACGCATTGAGGCTTAATCTTAAATCTGAGGTAAACGCAGAAGGAAGCTTGTGTTTGTGAGGTCCGCATCTGTGGACGGTGGCTGTGGGTCCGGGCTGCGGACAGGCATTAATCCCGTGAGGAGTCGCCGCTGCCGCTCTGTCTGCTAACTTCAAGAAAGATCGACGGCGCCTGGATTGGCTTTGGGGGCAGAGAGTTGTCTGGGTGAGGAGCCGGCGGCCCTCGTCCAGAGGCTCCGAAGCCAGGAATCCGTGAGCCCTGCGTCCTCTGTGGGCCTGAGGCCCCAGCGCCTGGACGCCGTGGGACGCACAGCGCTGGCATGGGCCTCTCCCACCACCACTGTCACCGAGTCACACTCGCTTTCCCGCCGACACGTACCTCCTGCTGTGCGTCCCGCCGTCTCCTGCGTCTGCCGCTCTGGGGCCACGAGCGGTGGCCGCACCGCCCCTGCGCCCGGCTCTTGCGGACTCCGTCGGTCTTGCCCTCGAGCCGACGAGTGGCACCAGCTCCCCTGGGAGGAACCCCTGCCCTTGCAGACACGCCCCTGCTGCCTGGAGCTGTCACCGGACAGGAGGTGAGCCCGCGCTGCCACATTTATAGCCCAGTTCGGGATCCAGATTATAGTTCTCCAGCTCCCCGTGGAGAACGTTCTCAGGAAATGTTAAGCGCGTCTGTGAAAAGTGACTTTAAACTGGGCTGGCCGCCTCGGCACTGGACCCCACCCGGCACAGCAGCCCCTGGCCCCGCACAGAAGCCCAGCGGGGACAGTTTTTCTTCCTGGAAGTAGCCTGTCCTCGGCATTAGTCTCCCCTCAGCAAAGCTGCCTGCCCCTCCCGCCCCGAGAGAGCGTGCGGCCCCTGGAAAGCCGCCGAGAGAAGGAGGCCTCGCGGGCCACGTCAGGTACTGGCTCAGAACGAGAGGGAAACCGGGGAACACAATCTCGAGGCCGTTCGGGCGAGATTGGCTTGTGTGCCGAGCGTGCCGTGCCCGACGGCAGGGCTCGTCGGTGGCCAGGGTGGGTGTGACGAGCTGTCTCGCTGCCACATTTGCCCGTTGCCGGGGCCACGTGCAGAGCATCCTCCTGCCTGGCCCAGGGTGACGCCTGTCCTGGCGTCCCTCAAGCCCCGAACCAGTCGTTTTCTATGGCACCAACCTTTAAGTGGGAAAAAAGCTCTTTTGTGAAATCCACACCTGTTGCCTTCAGTGCCGTCGGGATGGAATTGGCCGGGTGTGCCGTCCTCGGTGATGAGAAGTCGCGCTCTGTTTCGCATCGACATTTTCTGTTGCTTTATAAACTTTGTCTTTTGCAGAGTCTGGTGTGCGTGAGAGGGCACGCGGGTCAGGCGGAGGCCGTGGCACGACACACATGGGCAGTTCGCCTCCTTGCCGCGGGCCTCACCTTTGAGGGTCTGACCCCAGGGCCTGCCTCCGGCTCACCTACTGCTTCTCCCCCACCGTGGTCATCGTTCACAGGGTCCTTGTGAGGGGGGTTGCCCAGGTTTGCTGGCACCATCTACAGAGAACACGGGACGGTCGCCCACGGACACGCGTCAAGCCTTTGCCTCATCGGGTCAGTCTGGCCTGACCCTTTGCTCTCCCAGCTTTTGAGACGTTTTGGTTTGTGCTCCTTTTTGGTGATGATCGCACTCTATTCAGGCAGTGGTTCCATGAGGAGGAAGCGCAGAGGGGTCAGAACGTCGGTGGTGGTATTCTGCCACGTGGAGAGCTCGCGCCTTTTCCGCTCCTGCTGGGACCGAGGAGACCCTGTGGGGTCAGCTCAGGCTGGGCCTTGGGGGAATGGCCCCTCGGGGTTCACAGACAGTGAGCTTCTGGATGGGTTTCTGGTCATCTGACCAGACAGCAGGCCTGGCCCCTGCCGGCACACGTCCTGGGACGGTAGCCGAAGGCCCAGGGCAGCCCGCACCTCAAGGAGACGCACCTTACAGCACAGCGGTCTGTGCTCTCAGAGCCGACCAAGGGATGGTCTCCACCAGCTGGGAAGCAAGGGCACCAGGCCAGACGTGACCCGAGGACTGCGGCCCTCTGAATCTGGCCTGCCTTGACCCACCGCAAGCGTGGGTTGTAGAGGGCGGGCCGACCCCAGCCAAGATCGGCAGAAGTGGAACTAGGTCAATTCTGGCATGGTGTGCTGGGGTCACCAAGGCCTCAGGGGTCCGAGGACCTTCTCTTTGATCTCCCAGGGGCTCGAGTGTGTGTGGAGAGGGCAGCCAGGCCAAAGGTGTGCGGCTTTGGGACGGGCCCACCTCCTCCTGCGCCGTGACCCAGGGCACGCAGGCCCTCTGCACCCGGTGGTACCAGGTTCCTCTTCTCAGTGTCCTGCTTGACCAGTCGCCACGTTCACCAGCACCAGAGACAGGAAAACACCCTCTCCGCACAGGAAGGAAGTCACACAAGTAACTACTTTTCAGTAGTGTGCGTTTCGCACCAGGTATAGTCTGGTATCGTGTTGGAAGGAGGAGGGTTGTACCCAGAGGTCACGGTGGTGGCACAGGGCCCAGTGCATGGAGCGGTGTGGGACACACAAAGCCACGGAGGCATGGCTCCTGGCGCCCTAGGGTGGACCTCCTGAGCTGTCTGCATCCTTCTTCCATGCTGAGGCCCTCCCAAGTACCGCGTGCTGGCCTCAGACGGGCCAGTGCAGTGCCGTGGGGAATCAGACAGACCGTCCCCTTTCCATCTCCTCTGTAAATTCTTAAAGGTTACGTGGCCTGCATCCCTCAGTGAGGTTCAGCAGGCGCCGGAACAGCCCCTAGTCCTGCCCCACGCTCCGGGGACGGCAGGACCCATTGCTGGGTCCACCGTGCAGAGTGGCACGAGGCCAGCCCTGGGGTTATGGGGTCTGTGTGCCCCTGGCCATGCCTGTCAGCTTCACTCTCCCGCAGGCTCGTGTTTGAGGGTTGCTGTTTTTTTTTTCTTTGTTTAAGAACCAAGCCAAGTAGAGAAGATGAGGAGGGTTTTCTGGGTTGATAACATGAGTATTCCGTGATTCTCGAGCTGGGAGGGAACGAGTTCAGGGTGGGGGTGTTGCCACGGCTGGAGGGCGGGGATCCCCACTTTGCCTCAGGCAGCCTGACCCCAAAGGGTTCAGTGGGGACCCCCTGGTCCCTCTTCTGCTCCTCGCTGGGACTGGCAGAGGACTGGCTCAAGGCCTCGCGTATCACTGGGTCCGGGCTCTCGCTTCCCTGAGAACGGGTCTCCGTGGAGACCCAGAGTGATGGGTTTGACCCATCTGGACCACCTGCTTCTGCCCTGAGACACAGCCTTGTCCCTGGGACGCCAGAGCCCCGCCGTTAGTGACAGGGGGCCCTCCTGCATGTCACCCAGGACCCAGAAGTTCCACGGAAGCTCCGCCCACCACCAGGCGCTGCCGTTTGCCCTGCATTTTTACACGGGACTAAAGTGAAAATCTTCTTGGAATTAGTGAGACTTGGGGATCTTGTGTCTCCGTTATCCTAACTGCTGGTTTTGGCCCTCACCGTTTCAGCCAAGAGTGAGCGGAGCATCTGTCTCTAGGGAGAAACCCCACAAAGCACTTCGTCCAGTCCTGGCACCTGCTTGTCATTGGGGTGCACTTGGGAGAAGCAGGGATCCAGGCGGGGGTGGGGGGCAGCCGCGGGCCTGCTGCACGGAGCCTGCTGTGTAAGAGCCGTGTCCGCAGCCTACTTCCTGCGGGTTCTAGTTTCCCACTGGCGTCCCAGGCCGGCCAGAGAGTCTCCGGGGGGCTCTCTCTTCTTTGCTCCAACCCTGTTATTTTAAGAGTCAAATACAATTGGAAGAATCCTGGCTCCTCCTGCATTCGGGAATCTTGTTCTTTTGATTCATCCCACTATTTATCGATGGTTTACTCCATGTCAGAAACAGTAAAAGTGCCCGGGAGGGAGGTTCCTAGCCGCAGTAAGGGGGCTTGCCCTTCTGAGCTGTCTCCCAGAGTCACGAGGTGTGTGGTGACCTGGCCCCTCAATGCCGAGCGAGGGGGCTGGGCTGGAACGAGGTCTGCGCCTCCGAGGTGGGTTTTCCCACACGAAGTCAATGGGTGTGAAGGATGTTCACCTGGCCTGTGGTCTCTTAAGCTCTTAGCCTCTAAGTTTCTGTGTTAACTGACCCCCATCTTTTCTTTTTTTTTTTTTAATCCATAAGAAATGGGATTTAAAATCAAACATTTAAAGTTTGGCCCTTCCCTGCTTCCCTCCCAGCTTCCTTTCCGGAAGGCTTTCTGGATACCCTGTATTCTTATTTACAGGGCTCGGTTTGTATTTCAGGATGGGGGTCGGGGAGGAAAGAGACAAAAGTGTGACCCCGACTCTCGCCTCGATCCGCCGAGTTCAGCCCATGCCCTGCAGCTCGGCCCACGCGAGCTGAGATTTTTTTTTTTCCTTACCTGCTGGCAGTTTTCCTGTAAAGATAATTTGGGGGGCGGGTGTTAGGGGTGTGTGTGTGCGCACGTGTGAGAGAGTGTTTTCTTACAGCAGCTGTCTAAAGTATTTTCTGCAGTACACGTGATAATCAGTGCTTTAAAAGCAGTGGTACCCCAGACAGTGGAAACTAGCTCATGGGATCGGAGGCCCCGCCGTGCTGCCAGTTTCCACCACCTGTGTGCACGTCAGTCCGCGGGAAGCCCAGGGGGGCCCAGACGCCCCACAGGTGGCAGGGAGCCAGCAGTCCCGTCCTCAGAAAGACGAGAGGCCCACAGCAGCTGGGCCCGCCTGCGTTTTCATTTCAAATGGGATACAGTATTTTTTTAATAAGGAGCCATACTTTTTTTTAAAAGTTTGAGATCTGAATGTGATTTCTAATTGTATCAGACATTAATGTTTTAAAGCTATAACAAAGTTTAAAAATTTCTACTTTTTGTTTTTCATTTAACTGTCCTTTTATTAAATTGTTGTATGTGGATGGGGAAGTTCGGTTTCTCCTCTTAGCATTTGTTTCTATAACCAGAAATAAAATTATATATTACAGAAATGAGCCCGGGGCTCCGTGTGGTCCTTGGGAGTGGCTCCTGGGGGACAGACGGGTGGATGGGCAGATGGCCCGGACACGCAGCCCCCGTGCGCTCCCTGGACAGGGGGCGCCTGACCTGAGGGGCCGCTGCTGGGGAAGGTGCGCGTTTTCCTGTTGTGCTCAGTAGCCCACTCCTGGGAAGGCGCGAATTGACGGGAGCTGCCCGTGACTTCCTGGCCTCACCGAGCCTCAGCGAGTTCCCTGCATCCGAGTGTTTGCAGCCCCAGGGACGGGAAGACCACTCCCCTCTGCCCCTGGCCCGTGGAGCCTCGCCCCGCTCCTGGGCACCAACAGCTCAGCTGGGGGATGCCCCGGGTGGCTGCGCCCGTGCACCCCCCGAAGCAGACCCTGGACAGCTGGGGTCCCTCCTGCCGGCACTCGGCCACATGAGACTTTCTGCCCCTGTGTGCATGTCGTCTCTTAGGTCTTGCTTGTTCTGGGTACTGAGGGCAAAGCGGAGGGCCGCGAGGCAGAGGTGGTCTGTCCGGACGCCGGAGTCAGACTTGATTCAAAGTCCGGCGGGGGTGGGGGGGGCTTTAGGCTGCAAGAAGCTCCATGTCTTCATCCACAGAACGGGCGCCCCGTCTCGCAGTGTTCCGTGCATCACGTGGCCCAGGGCACATCGGCCGTGGTGAAACCCCCTCTGTGGCGCCCGCCGGCTTAATGATTAAGTCCTCGCACGAAGAAGCGTGCCTCTGCTGGACTTGGCTCTCAGAGAAATGTGTGCTTGTCACACAACGCACCTTTGGTCAAGGTTCTCTAGTCCACGCGCCTGTTGCTTGTCACCTCTTGGAGTGTCAGTCACTGGCCTTTCCCAGGTCTGCAGGAGCCCACGGCTGTAGCAGACGCATGAACACGGCTGTCCTTCACGTTACCCCGCGGACACCGTACGAGTCTAGTGGTAAGCCTTCCCGCACCGGTAACAGGACGTCTGAGGATTTTGGCCAAATAACAAGCAAGAATGAGGATGGTAAGTCTCGAGAGCTATGCTGGCCAGTGAGCATCTTCCTGAAATGCGCAGTTTTTTCAGTTTTGGTTTTGACTGAGACAACCATTTCTCACTAGTAAGACCTTAAGATTGGGGCGCCTGGGTGGCTCGGTCGGTTAAGCATCCGACTCTTTTGATTTCGGCGCAGGTCGTGATTTCAGGGTCTTGAGTTCGAGCCCCACGATGGGCTCCACGCTGGTCATGGAGCCCACTTAAAATATAAACAGAAAGATAGTAAAAATCAGACCCCAAGATAACATCTTACACAAATGAGAACTTTGTGAGAAACCGTCGTGTATCGTTACCGTTGGGAAGAGGCTTGGGGCGTGCGTGCGTCCGGAGAGAGAACGGTCCTGGCGCAGTGTGTTCTCAGAAGCGAAGCCGGGCTAGGACCGAAGCGAGGCACCACAGAGCGACTGCACATCCAGCCACGTCCATGGTTGCCGAAGCTGGACACACACCGAGGGTTCACCGACAGCGGGACGGCCGAGCGCTGGTAAGTCCCTGTGGTCCTCTCAGGTGTCCGGGGAAGGAGCCACAGAGAAGGCTCCACGCCGCAGGGCCCCATTTGTGTGAAGCGCTAACAGGCAGAACCGACCCACGGTGATAAGAGGAGGCGCCGGGGAGCAGCAGGGAGGGCTGGGCCGGGGTCAGCTTGCCACAGCGGCTCGCTACATCTTCAGGAATTTGGGCAGCCAGCTGCTACAGCCATTCTTCAAATTTTAATGATACAAACTTACAATTAAATACATTACATTAAAAACGAAGGTGGTAAGTACGCGGTTCCTCTCTTACTATCGTTTGACTCTATCTCTGCTCTCCGGGTCATTGCCCTCCCTCGTGTCCGTTCGGTTTCTGCGGCTCTCCCAGCGGTGCAGTGACGTCACGTTGGCAGCCCGAAATCTGCCGTTTGGGGGGTATTTGTACACGGAAATCATCAAACGCTACAGGTCAGCCCCTCGCCCCCCCCAAGCCCCCCGTCCCGGTGAGCCAGGTAAACATTTACCAGCATACCACGGATTAGTGGGAAGGATCACGGAGTTCACTCAAAATCTATGTACTTCGTATGTATCTTACCTTAATAAACATCCTTTTAAGCCACGAAACTAGTGTTGGAACTCCTTCCCAGGTCTCAGATGGCATAGGTCTCAACACAGGTGCCGTGGATTTGCTGTGCGCACCTCGGCCCAGGTGAGCCAGCGAACTCCCTCCACAGCCGTGGGTCGTGATCGAGCTACCGGCAGCCTCACTCTCAACCTCCTGTGCGCTTGCGATTCCGGGGTGGGGGTGGGGGTGGGGCCCCGCCTCTGCTCGTCAGCCTCGCCCTTCAGTATCAGGGAAGAGTGCGTCCTGTCCGACAGCATCCTTCATCTAACGATGTGACAACAGTAGGCGACTGCAGTTAGTTTCCGCAGCCCAGCCGGGGCCGGCCGCCTTGGGCCACCCCCAGGTGCCTCCCCTCCTAGCCCTGGGACCCTCCCCAACCTCCCCACTACCCCCCGCCCCAGCCTCCTAGCAGCAGCTGCGACTCCCCGCTCCCTTTCAGGTCTGCAGCCCTAGCAGGGCAGCCCCAGCGGCTCTCGGGACTTGACCTCTGCGACCCGGCATTCTCCTGGATGTCTTCCCACTGCTCTGGCCATTCCTCAGGGGGCGGCAGGCAGGGGACAGCGTGGCTGCTGGCTCAGCGTGCTTCTCCCCTGACAGGTGTGGACCTCGGGCACCTTACCCGATCGTCCTTCAAATGGTGATAATAAAACTCCGGCTCGGAGTTGTCCGACAGGTTCGATGAGATCACCAATGCGCAGTGCTTGGCCTTCCCCAAGGACCCCCTGTAACAGACTTCCCGACCCAGCTCCCCTCCTCGTCACTCTGCAGCTCCCGTCTCTTAACTCCTCGGCACCCGTCACCCTCCATGCCTCCTGGGTACCATCAGGGCATCTCAAACCGCCAAGTCTGGGTTTCTGGCAGGTGAGTAGTTGGCCCGTCCTGTTTCCGCCCCTCTCCTGCATCAGGCGTTCCCTCACTGCTTATCCCTCTGAGGCCCCCCTGACCCACCACCCTGCCCGACTGCCTGCAGTACCTGCTCTTCATCCCCCCTTCATGGCATTTCCCACTACTAGGCTGCGGTGTGTGTTTGCGTATCTGATCACTGTCCACCTGTTGACTGTAAATTTCCCAAGGGCAGGGGCCTGGCCTCCCCTGTTCACTGTTCCCCAGAACCTGAGATACTCCCTAGCACAGCAAAGGGACTCCTCCTGCCCCAGTGCCAAGGGAATGGTACCACGCGGAAAGCCAGAAACCTGCTGTTGCCCTGTCCCTTCTCCTGTCCCCAAATCCATCTCTGGGTCCTACAAATCCTAGCCCTGAATGGTTACTGAATCTTCCTACTTCCTGTCCTCATGGCCTTTACCTGGCTTGGGGGACCTCCCTCTCTCCCCCAAGGCCACCCCATGCACTCTTTATCCCGCTGCCAGACATCAGGTCCCCCCTCAGGTGCATGTGCGCCCCAGGAAGCAGGCCTGCACTGCTGCCTTCAGGACTTTCGCCCCTGCCTGCCCCTTCCCACCTCTGACACCCTCTGGGCTCCTCTTAGGCTCCTGTCCCTCTGGAAATCTTCCTCCCGTGCACCCTGCCTGCCCAGTTCGGGCTGGAACCACATTTACCACACAGTCTGCAGGCCGGAATACTGAGGCCAACACATCTTTCAGAAGGACTAGAAATTGGTTTTCCCTCTCTAAGCCTGTTGCCTCACAGTCTGTGGTTATGGGGGACAGGGAGTAAGACTTTAAAGCAGCACTACGAGCCTATGATAGGCCCTAAATACATGGAGCCTCAAAACAGCAAAGCCGCAGGGCTGAGAGGCTCGGGGCTGTTCTTTTTTTTTTTTTTTTTTTTAAAGATTTTACTTATTTATTTGACAGAGAGAGACACAGCGAGAGAGGGAACACAGCAGGGGGAGTGGGAGAGGGAGAAGCAGCCCGATGCGGGGCTCGATCCCAGGAGAGAGGCTCGGCTGTTCTTGCAAACTGCTGCACACGGATGCAGCCCACACCAGAGCGTGTGTCATGCTTTCAGGTCGTACTGAGCAAAGGACCCCCACACTGACAGTGCCGCCTGTGGTCAGGAGGCAACCCAGAAGTGGGGCAACGGTGCTGGGGCTGGCGCCAGGCCGTCTCCTACCGGCACCCGGTGCCCAGAGTCCACGGCGGAGGGGGAGCTGGGGCCTGGGGTCACGGGGCCCTAGGGTCCCACGGCCCCAGAGTGCCTAGGTTCCCGGGTCCTGGGGTCCTGGGAGCTCGGGGTCGCGGGTGCCGAGATCTTAGGGTCTTGGGGTCCGGCGTGCGGAGGTTCCGAGGGCTCAGGGCTCCAGATCCCAAAGCTCCGGGGTCCGCAGCCCACCACGGAAACCAGGCGCCCCCCGAACGGGCGGCCCGCTCGCTGACGGCCCCCCCCCGTGGGACGGGCTCCACCGAAGCCCATTGGTCGGCGGCCTGCCCGCGCCGCCCACGTGACGCGGCACGTGACGCGACCCGGAAGCAGCGCGGCGGCGGCGGCGGCGGCGGCATGTTCGCGGCGGGGGCGGAGAGTCTGCTCCACCAGGCCAGGTGCCCCGGCGTTTCCCTTGGGGCTCCTGGCGGGGGGGCGTCTCACAGAGCTGCGCCCGCGCGCGGAGACCCGGAGCAGCCCACCCAGACCCGCCCTAGAGACCCGCGGGCCGGGGAGGCCACGCCGGCCGGGCCCGGGGGGAGGGGCGGGGAGGGGCCCGGGGGGAGGGGCGGGGAGGGGCCCGCGGGGCCCCGGCGGCGGCGGCGGCGCCTGAGCAGCGTCGCGAAGGGTGCGTGCCAGGGAAGCGGGGCGGGGCCCCCCGCCGTCCCCAGCAGGGGAGGGGAGCCGGAGGCTGTGGGATGCCTCGGGGGCGAGGGCATGGAGCCGCCAAGAGGCTGGAGAGCCTGCTGGCGCTGAGGCCCGCGAGTCCGGCGCGCCAGGCGCGGGAATCTGATTCCCTCCGAGGGCTTTGCGGAGCCAAGGGCGGGATCTGCGATTTACAGAATCGCTCTGCTGCAGGTGCGTTAGAAAGGGTCGCGAAGTTACCCACCGACTCCTGGCCCCAGGCTGGCCCCGGACTCCTGCTGACCAGTCAGTAAGCCCCTTCCTCGGCGCCTAACCAGCCACGGGAGAAAGGATCAGGCTCGGACCAAGCCCCGCCGTCCATCTGACAGCGTGAGACTTGACGTCCCTTGTTTAGAAGAAAACGCAGTCAGAACCACAAGCCGGTGGCAGACTTTTCTCAAAAACCCTAAAATTAGTAGCTGGCCGGTTAGCTCAGTTGGTTAGAGCGTGGTGCTCATAAAAAACCCTAAAGTTGGATCTGGAGCTGGACCACCTGGTGGGAAAGACAGGATAGCTGAGGCTGCTGTAATTTAAGGAGACAAGATCTTGAATGCAGATTAGGTTCTGAAGGCTGGGAAGAGGGCAAAAATCTGTGGTCAAAATAACCCTTGAAAATCTGCTCAGAAAGTGCCTTGTGGATTCGTGGCACCATCTGTGTCTCCTTCCTTGTTGGACATCCAACATTCAAACTCTTACAACTCGAGCTCACTTGAATTTAGGGGCTGTATTACGTGAAAATGGCATCTCACTCAACGTGTGACACACCCCAGCGTTCTTGCCAAGAGACACGTAAGAACTGAGACCCGCCCAGAACTTCACCCGTCTTCCCCCTCCCCAGCTCACCTTCTCCTCCAGGTCATAAATATGCAGAATGAAAGGCAGAATGAATAACACTCACTATCTAAATTCTTAATCCTCTCTCTGTCTCGGGTGGGGGAGTGAGGGAGTTGAGGGTAGCGTGTGGTTCAATATCCATAAGTAAGATGCATGACTTACGCAATTTGTCTCCACTAGGGTTTGAGAAAAGCTAGTCATTATCAGTTAGGTCTTACTGGTTTTCACTGTATTCCACTCTAATTAAGCCTGTGATTTGGGGTGGCACTTTAAAATAAATTGCTAACGTTCAGGAGTTAGGATTTGTAGTGAATTTTAGTGTCTGAACTTTTTGGCGATGGAAAGCAAGGGTGGAAAAAGTCACCAGAAGCATCTCTCGTAAGCTGAAGACAAGTGAAGGAAGTGGGACTCGGAGAAGGGGTGGACGGGGGTGTGCGGCAGGTCAGGGGAAGTTTCCAGAAGCCCGAGACAACTAATCAGAGGCTCTGCGTGAGGACATAACCAGCGAGGGATATTTCAGGCAGAGGGTCTGTGGGGAGGATCAAGAGCAAGAGAAACAGGACTTGTGGTTCTTAGAGAAGTAAGGCAGGCCCAGGACCCTGTAAGCCTTGTTAGTGTCGGTAGGAGCTTGGGTTTGAAAGCACTGGGGAGCTATTGAAGGGTTTGAGCAGATTGGACTTTTAGAATCTCACAACCTAGAGAATATACTGGAAGGAATTCATTGGGATGAGGGGTACCACCATTCTAGGAAAGAGTCCCGTGTTATTTTGAGGCATCCTGGTGGCTTCTCGCTCAGTCTCGTTAGCCCGGTGAGAAACAGACCTGACCAGGCCTCTTGTCTTTCTGTGTCCTCATCCCATGTGTGACTGTTGTGTTTGTAAGAAATGAAAATGTGTTAGGAGGTGGGAGGGAGACCGAAAGTGGTGGGGAGTTCATTGAGGTTCATCTCCCAGCCTTCAAGTGAGAACAAGAAACACAAGAAGCTGCCCCAGGCACCTAGCCGCAGATGCTCGGCCAGCCTCCTCGGAAGCCCAAGGCTGGAGCGGCCCCGTCTCTCTCGGTTCAAAATTCCGGGTTCCTGAGCTCGAGCATCTGACTGGTCCAGCCTGGATTCGGTGGACTTCAGCCGTGGCTAGGGGGCTGGAGGGGGCCCTCCTCTGAGAGCACCCCCCCTCCAGAGGTCCCTAGTACCGTGTTTCCTGGGTTTGTCTTTCCTTTTGGACTGGAACAGAAACCCAAAAACCAGCTTTCTGTTTTGAGATTTTGTTCAGTATCTTACTTCTTGTTGATGCTCAGTAGGCACGTTTTTTAATGAAGCAGAGTGAATACCAGGAACTGTAGTAGGCGTACCTGAGAACAGGTCACAGTGTTTGTCCTCTGACATAGCAGATTCCACTCTTGCTCCAGGACTGGAAGGCTCATAGAAGGAATCTTTTTGAAAAGCAACTTATTTCAGGCTACTCTTCATTTTGACTCCTAACATCAATCGGTTTTAGTTCTTCTGCTTTTGGGACAACAAAAAATCCGGAGGGGTGGTGTCGCCGTGACGGGGTCTGCTGTAGCCGCTGGCGTGGTGGTCTCCCGACAGCCCTGCCCGCAGGGGAGGGGAGTGACCCGACGACGGCCGCATCCCAGGGAGGGAGGATACGCGTGTGGTGGCCTCGCTCTCCCACGGGACACCCGGGCTTCTCTGCTCCGTGGGGATGTTCCTCCAGCCCCAGGGCCGTCTGTCACGGCTCAGGGCAGCATTTCCGGCTCCTGTGGCCGGGTCCCCTGACACCAGGTTGCTGATGCCCTGCTCTTCATTTAGGGAGATCCAGGATGAGGAGCTGCAGAAGTTTTGTTCCCGGGTTGTTAAGCTGCTGCAGAAGGACGAGCCGGGGCCCGATGCGGTGGACGCCCTGCAGAGGCTCTTCCTCATCGTCTCAGCCACGAAATACAAGAGGAAGTGAGTGTGATGATCTTCGGGAGGATGCAGGCTCCCAGCACGTGAGGCCAGCTTGGTGGGGGGTACCTGTCCACTCGTGGCGCGTTGGGCCTCGGCATCTTACACCCGCTGGAAGCGATGCTCACAGCGCTCACGTATGGAGAGCTCTCTCTGCCGGCCAGGGGGCCCCGGGTCTTCTCTGGGGGGGCCAGCGCTCCCGTGGTGACGTGCCATCCACCACGTGGCCTTGCCCCCCCCCCGCCCCCGCAGGCTGGAGAAGACGTGCGTGGACCTGCTGCAGACCACCCTCTGCTCGCCCAAGTGTCCCGAGCAGCTCCAGTTCCTTTGTGCCGCCATCCTGAGAGAGAGGTCGCCTGCTGATAGCCTGAGCCTGTCCTGGGACCACGTCCAGAGCAGCCAGCAGCTGAGCCTGGTGGCCTCTGTGCTCTTGGCCCAGGTGACATGCCCGTCCTGCCCTTGGTGGCCCTGGGGTGTCCACCAGCCTCCCCCGTGCCCTCCTGCTCTGTCCCCCCTTGCTCCCGGGGAAGTGGCAGGGCTCTGGGCTCCGGGCTCCAGGCAGGCTAATTCCGGCTGCCCTGGTGGTGACGCTCCTGGACGCGGTAAGAGGGGCGTTTCGGAAAAGAAGATGCTCTCGGAGCGGTGGCCTTCAGACTCGGCAGCCCCTTCCCCGGTGTTTTCAGACCGGATGACTTGTCGCCCACACACTCAGGCAGGTCATCGCTTCACACTCCCCCCGTGTTCTGTTTGAAGGGTGACAAAAAGGAGGAGGTCCGAAGCGTGGGCCAGCACGCCTTCAGAGTCCTCGAGAGCCGGCAGCCCGAGGGGCCCAGTCTGAGACACCTGCTCCCGGTCTTGTCCAAGGTCACGCACCTGGCCCCGCACACCCTCCATGAAGGTAGTCACCCTTCCCAAGAGGCCTGTGCGGGCGCAGAGAGAGAGGAGCACCCTCACAGAAGGGATGGCGGAGGGGCAGTCTGGGGAGGCCCGAGGGCCCAGCACCCTGTCCAGAGCTTGTTTTCTAGAAAGCCCTGCCAGCGCCCCTGCAGCCTGAGTCTGTGGGATTGACGATTTCCCGCATGTTGTCCCCGCCCACCCCCCACCCGCAGACCAGACCAACCTGCTCAGCAAGAGGCTGGTGGAGTGGCTTCGCTACGCGAGCGTCCAGCAAGGGGTCGCACACACTTCCGGAGGCTTCTTCTCCACACCCAGAGCCCGGCAGGTGAGCCTGGAGACTCAGAACCTCCCTGTCCCTGGGCGTCCCTGTGCCAGCTTGGCCAGTCTTGCCCCCAGGGTCCCGCCAACGCCTCCTGTCCTTCCACCTGCCCTGGTTCCAGAAGGATCCCTCTTTTGTGTCTCCACTCGGGTGTGGGGGGGCTTTGGGTCACCAGGGTCACAGCCCCCCAGCCCGTGATGCTGTGGGCCAAACCCACTGGTGAGATCACTTATCTGACGGAGGACGGCGTCCACTCAGGTGCCAGTGTTTACGCGTCTCACGGGGGCTGCCCCAGTCCTCGAGAGCGTGAGGGCGGGGCTACCACTCGCACGCAGCGCCCCCCCTGCCCTCCCCGCCGTGAGCCCATTGCCCCCCGCACCCCCCCAGCCCGGGTCCCCACAGCCCGTCCTTCCTTGCCTCCCGCAGCCGGGCCCGGTCACCGAGGTGGATGGGGCGGTGGCCACAGATTTCTTCACGGTGCTGTCCACGGGCCAGCACTTCACGGAGGACCAGTGGCTGAACGTGCAGGCCTTCTCCATGCTGCGGGCATGGCTGGTGCACAGCGGCCCCCAGGGCCCCAGCACCCCGGACGCAGGTGGGACACGGGGTGGGGGGGGACACGGGGGGTCTCCAGGCAGGAGGTGGGCGGGACCGGGTGTGGCCCCGGGTGACGCTGGCACCGGGAGGCCCGTCCCCATCGTGCGGGAGAAGCCAGAGCGACCGCTGAGGGCAGACGTCAGCAGGGGTGTTCAGACAGCTTCACCAAACCCCTTCCCCAGCGCAGACCAACCGGCGGTGTAGACAGGCTGGACTTTGCGGGGACACGCCTCCACTGCGTGGGGCGTCCGGTGAGGGTGGAGGCGGCCGCGGCCGGGCGAGGCCTAGGTAGCCTGCCGCGGGGACTCCGCGCCCCTCGAGCGCCTCGTTCTCTCTTCCAGACGACAAGTCGGAGCTGGAGGGCTCCACCCTGTCCGTGCTATCGGCCACCTCCACCGCCAGCCACCTGCTGCCCCCCCAGGAGCGGCTGAGGGAGAAGGCCTTCGAGTACTGTCAGCGCCTCGTGGAGCAGAGCACGCGACGTGAGTCCCGCTGTCGCGCCTCCTCCCCCAGGGGCGTCTCGGGCTGCTTGTGGGGGGCTGGGGCCTGGACAGCCTCTGTGCCGGGGGGAGGAGGGGCTTTGTGTTCCTGGCATAAACCCCGGGCAGCTGGGCGGGGGCAGAACCCGCCCCCAGCCCGCCAGGCGTCCGTCCCAGCCTCCCGTCCACCTTGCGGGGGGGGGGCCCTCTGCCCGTCCCTCCGCTCCCAGTTTGCTCTCCGCCGCCTCCTCGAGCTTCCAGAACAGGGTGCCTCTCGCTCTGTTTTGATGCTGACCGGAGACCAGGTGGCTGCCTCTCTTCCTTCCCCAGGAGCCCTGAGAAAGGGGGACGCGGACCTGCAGAAAGCCGTATGTGCCGGGTGGGCCGGGCGGGCCGGGCGGGCCTCCCGCGCGGCTCCCCGCGAGCTGGGCCTCCGCGTCCCCGCAGTGCCTGGTGGAGGCCGTGCTGGTGCTGGACACACTCTGCCGGCAGGACCCGTCCTTCCTGTACCGCACGCTGTCCTGCCTGAAGGCCCTGCACGCGCGGCTGTGTGGGGACCCGGCCCGGGCGCGGGCGCTCCTGCCCATCGCGCAGTTCTTCCTGAGCCACGGTGAGCCTCGCGGCGCCGGGAGACTCTTCTGCTTCGTGCCGAAGCTCGGCCCCTTTTCCTGTTTGTGGCGCCGCTTCCTTGGTTGTGTGGACCCGGGTTGCTTTGAGGGACCGTTAGCACCTGATAGGAGAGTTTTTAGATGGGTTTAGGGAGCGGATCGACGTTTCACACCAATCTTAGATCTCTCTTTGCCACGAGAGTTCACGGGAGTTTCGTGGGAGGTGCCGTGAAACCAGCATTTTCCAAAGAACGTTCCACATCATGTGACTTGGAGGGATTGGGCAGTAGCAGGAGACTCTTGGGGAGAGCTGGATGCAGCTCGGCCAGGGCTCCCCGTGCAGCATGGACACCTCAGGGCCCCTGGTGTCTAGGACTCTGAGGGCCCCACTCAGCAGGGGCATCCTCGTGACGATCCGGGGACCCCCGTGCCGGGGCCTGGGCCCTGACAAGGCCAGTGTTTCAGGGGAGGCGGCCGCCGTGGACTCGGAAGCCATCCTGCAGCACCTGTTCACCAGGGTCCCCTGCGAGCTCTTCCACAGCCCCATGCTGGCCTTTGAGTTCGTCCGCTTCTGCGGGGACAGCCTTCCCCTGTTCGGCAGGAACCTTGACATTCTCAAGCGGAGCTTCCCCAACCTCTTCAAGGCACGCTTGGTTGTCCTCGGGCCAGAGAGGGGGGCCGGCGTTGGGGGCGGGGTGCAGTGCCTCCCACTCGTCCTCCCTCCGCGGAGGCGGCCTAGGGTGCCGGTGGAGGGCCAGGGACGGCCCGGGGGGGTCCATGCGTCATGTAGGAACAGCGTCCCCGCCGGGGAGAGCCCCATGCTGAGCCCCGTCGGAGCAGCTAGGGCGGACTGTGGTTGATCCTAGAATTTGTCCCAATTATCACATCAAGTAGGCTCCTCACGTGGGAGTCTTGCTTGCTGTGCTCGGCCCTTTGTGCTGTTGGTTTTTTTCTTTTAAGATGTTATTTATTTGACAGAGAGACAGCGAGAGAGGGAACACAAGCAGGGGAAGTGGGAGAGGAAGAAGCAGGCTTCCCGTGGAGCAGGGAGCCCAATGCGGGGCTCGATCCCAGGACCTTGGGATCATGACCGGAGCCGAAGGCAGACGCCCAACGACTGAGCCACCCAGGCGCCCGTGGTGTTGGCTTTTGACGTGTCTTTTGTGACTGGCGTGGTCACCACGTGGTCTTTGCAAATTCAGCTAGAAAAACAAGGACAAGTAGAAAGGGGTTGCTTTATTTGTTGGTACAGAAGTGAACGCAGAAGCAGAGTAGCGACAAAAAACCGGTCGAGGGCGCCTGGGTGGCTCAGTTGGTTGAGCGACTGCCTTCGGCTCAGGTCATGATCCTGGAGTCCCGGGATCGAGTCCCACATCGGGCTCCCTGCTCGGCGGGGAGTCTGCTTCTCCCTCTGACCCTCCTCCCTCTCATGTGCTCTCTCTCATTTTCTCTCTCTCAAATAAATAAAATCTTAAAAAAAAAAACAACAACTGGTCGAGTGGCCCAGGGAGAGGGGGGGGTTGCTGATACCCCTGCCCATCCGGGACCCAGGCGCTCTCCCTGCGGCAGCCCATGGGCTCCAAGCTGATGGCCCTGCCACTGGGCCACGCGCCCCACACGGGCCCTCCTGGTTCCCACCGAGCCGCCACGCTTGTCCCTGCAGCTCCTGGCCTGGAACAGCCCGCCCCTCACCTCGGAGTTCGTGGCGCTCCTCCCGTGGCTGGTGGACGCCAGCACAGCCGTGGAGATGCTCCACGCGCTGCTGGACCTGCCCTGTCTGACTGCGGCCTTGGATCTGCAGCTCAGGTGAGCCCAAGGGATGACGCCTGTCCCTGGGTCCCCTCCCCGTTCCCTGCTGTTCCGTGAGCTGCCCTGATGAGAGCACCTCCCTCCAGCCCTGGGCCCTGGAGCCCCCGGCCTGTCTCACTTGGCGGGAGAGCCTCACCGTGCAGGGTGCCGGGCCCCAGGCCCCTCCCGGTCCCTCTGAGGCTCATCGATGGCACAGGGTGACACCTGCTCTGTGTCTCCACGAGGGCTGGGGCAAAGTCGGCCTGTGCCCAGAGCCCGTGTCTGAGCCCGGCCTCGGGCATTTGCTTGCTCACAGGCTGTCACCGGCTGCGTCGGAGAGGCCACTGTGGGACATCTCCCTCAGGAACCCCAGCTGCCTGGAGGCCTCCCGAGACCCAGAGTTCCAGGCTCTTCTCCAGCACCTGTTGCGGGCTAAGGCCAGCGGAACTGTGCAGGGGTAGGGGCCGCTCGGGCTGGGGAGCGCCTGGGGTGAGGCCTGCTGCTGGGCGTCCCCAGCCCCACGGCCCTGGGCGGGACAGGAGAACACCTACGCGTGGTCAGAGCCTGTCCCCGGGGTGGGTGGGACGTGTCTAGGGACGTCTGCCTCTGGGCCTTGCGCCTTCTGACCTGAAGAGACCCCTGTGGTCGCCCCCCGCCCCCTGCCCTTGGCAGGCACCAGCCACGCCGTGGGGGCTCGCGGGGCATGGGCCTCGTGAGCTCAGCTCTTTACCAGCGCCCCAACTTGGGCCATACGAGCCTGCGAGGTAGGCGTGCTGACTCTGTTGTACAGATGGACAAGCCGAGGGCTAGTGCTCCCCAAGAGGGGGAGGGCCAGGACTGGAGCAAGGCATCCTGAGCGCGCTCCCTGCGGCCTGTGAGAGCGGTGCTGCCCGAGGGGCCGGCGGCCGACAACGGGAGCAAAGCTGTCAGCAGGGGGCGGCATGCGTGGTGACAGGGTGGCCCCCTCCCGGGAGGGCAGCGCATGTCGGTTCAGAACTTGGTCCAGGCCACGGCACGGGTGATCCCGTTCCCTCTCTCCTCCGGCACCGGCCAGCCATTGGCATGTGGAGACCATGTCCAGGGGCCCCGGGGAAGCGGGAGGGCGGGTACTCGGGGGGACGTGTGACATGTTCTCCAGGTTGGCACCACTCCACCAGCTGCTGCAGCCCATGACCAGCTGCGCCCGTGTGGTCCAGTGCGCCGAGGCCGTGCCCACCCTGCTCCAGGCGTTCTTCTCCGCGGTGACCCAGGTGAGCCCGCTTCCAGACTCCTCCATTCCCGCGGGCGCGCTGGCCCTGGGCCTTGGCAGAGTGGTGTCCTTGAACGCAGATCCTGCCGTGGATCAGCGAGAGGCGCCAGGAGGGGTGGCACGCGGCCCGTCCCTCCCCGAGAGCGGCCTCGGGCTGCCAGACACAGCCGGGGTCAGAGCAGAGCGTGGGGGAGGGTGGTGTCAGGGCTGAGTCTGTGTCTCCCTCCTGACCCCCAGTTTGCCGACGGGGCCCTGACCAACCAGCTGGTGCTGGTGCTCCTGGAGAGAAGGGACTCCCTTTACCAGGTGCCCCAGTATGAGGCCCGTGTGCACAGGTGGGCCCTCCCGCCGCCCAGCCCTAGCCCGGTTTCACTGCCCTCTCCCCCGGCCCCCCAGCCTGCCCCGCCTCTGAGTCCCCACCCCCCAGGCTGCACCCGCATTCAGCTGCCCTCTGCAGTGCGTATCCTGCCGCCCCGCATCACCCCAGGCCCAGCTTCCGCACGCACTCCTCTCCCCGGTTCCTCCTCCGCCAGGTCTGTAATCTCCGGTGCTGGCCCAGTCCCTCTCCACGCAGGCTTCCAGACCATCTGTCCCCCTTTCCGAAGGCCTGGTCCACACAGGCCTGCATCCACGCCACTCTCCAGCCCCAGCCTCCCCCACAGTGGGCCCTTTAGGGGCCGGAACCATCTGCACCTCAATCTGGTGCTCAGAGGCTTTCCCCTCCTCCTCCCGGCTCTGGTTCTGGATGGGGGCTGCGGTCTGGGCCCGGGGACGGCCGCGGCCCAGCAGCGTCCTCCCCGGGCAGGGTGCTGAGCTCACAGCTCCTGGCCCTGTGCGCGCTGCACCCGTCGCTGGTGGTCGACCTGGCGAAAGAGCTGCTGGAGTTTGTGGGGAGCGTGAGCAGCGTCCACAGCAGAGGGGCCATGCTCGCCGCCGTGGTAAGGCCGGCCACCGCGCCACCGCCCCCTCCCCCTCCCGCGCCGGGGTGCCTGCAGGGGGCTGAGGCTCTGTCCCCCCCCCCCCCCCCCCAGGCCTGGGCCGTCGGCGAGTACCTGTCCGTGTCCTGGGACCGGCGGTGCACCGTGGAGCAGATCACCAGGTTCTTCGAGGCCCTGGAGGCCCTGCTGTTCGAGGTCACCCAGTCCCGCCCGTCTGCCGCCCTTCCCAAGTGCCCCCCACAGGTCATCGCCGTGCTCATGACCACGCTGACCAAGCTGGCCTCCCGGAGCCAAGACCTGATTCCCAGGTACAGGATGGGGCAGAAGGGGAAGGGGAGCTGGCTCCGGCGCCCTCCCGGTGCCCGAGGTCTGCACGCGGCCCGCAGCACGAGGGCTCCGGGCGGACACCGGTGGCGTGGGCGGCGTCCCTGCGGCCTCACCTCTCCCAGCTGACGCCCCACGACCCGGAGGCCTCGGGGGTCTGGGCCCCTCCACAAGGCCTCGGGTTTCCTGTGAGGAGCGCATCTGCCGCTGACTGACTGGGACCCGCTCACCCTCAGGGTCTCTCTGTTCCTGTCAAAGATGAGGACCCTGGCGCAGAGCCCAGCGCTGAGCCCTGTGTACGGTGAGGAGGACGCGGGAGCCATCTGCACGCGGGCCACCGAGCTGCTGACCCTGCTCAAGATGCCCAGCGTGGCCCAGTTTGTGCTCACGCCCAGCGCAGAGGTGTCCGAGCCCCGCTATCACCGGGACGCCAACACAGCCCTGCCGCTGGCCCTGCGCACGGTCAGCCGCCTGGTGGAGAAGGAGGCGGGCCTCCTGCCTGGATGAGGGACGGTGGCGGGGGGGACGGCGGCCGGCCGCAGATTAAGAGCCTGGTATTAGGGCCAAGCCGCAGCTGCCGTGACCAGAGGGCAAGTCAGGAGGGGCGTGAGGCCCGGGGAGGAGGCCTGGGTGGGTCTGGGTCCCTCCGTGCTAAGTCAGGGCTGTCCCGTCCTCAGCCTTCGGGTGTCCGGGTGTTTGTCTCTCTGCTCTGCTGAGCTGTGTGGTGAAACAGGATTCGGAGCTCTCACGCTGTCGGGGGCTGGATGGGGGCTGCTTGGTCTGTTTCTGGCTGCTCCTCGCTCGGGGGCAAGAAGAGGTGCAGCAACAATAAACCTCTTTCAGAAAGTCCCTGTGTGCACGAGGCAGGGGAGAGGGCCGGGTATGGGGAGCGCCGCTGGGCTGGGGCCGTTTCTTCCCCCCGAGTCCCCACAGCGTCCCCGATGTTACAGAAGTAACAGCACGGATGTGGGCGATCAGAAAGGGAGCCGCGTGACCCTCCCACCGGTGCGGCTGCCACCGGGAAGGGCCTTTGCTCGGCGTCCTCTCTTAGCCCGGCTTCTGATGCTGCTGAATGAGCCCGCTGGGGCTCTTCGGGCCTGCAGCCTCCCGCCGCCCGAGGTAGGGGGCAGGGCCAAGCCGGCGGGGACCCCGACACCTGCCGCCGGAGCCTCAGCGCAAGTCCGGGTCGCTCTGGCGTCATGCCGAGTGGGGGAGACACGCTGGGTGTGGTGGCGCGAGAAGCCTCCGGCCCCTGTTCCCCTCCCGCCTTGGACGCCGGCTCCCAAGGTTCCCCTCCGCTCCGCCGGGCGCGCACACGCGTCCGGCCACCGGGTGGCGCTGCTGCTCCGCGAGCCTCTGCCCGGCCCGCCGGCCCCGGCCCCGGCCCCGCCCCTCGCCCCGCCCCCAGGCCCGGGGCCCGCGACGCCGGCGGCTCGCACGCCGGAAGCAGCTGCGGCCGCCGAGGACGTGGGGGGGGTGGGCCCGCAGGGGGTGTTCGCCTCGCCCCGCCTGGCGCCCCGGCCCCAGGAGGACTTCCGGGAGACGACAGGTGACGCGCCCGTGGAGCGGAGCGGTGGGCGTCGGGGCGGGACGCGCCCGGGCCAGCCTGGTCCTCCCAGGCCGGGGCCGACCCAGCCCCGCGGCTCGCCGACCCCGCCCGCCCCCCGGGGCCCCGGGGCTCCCGGCCCGGTCCGCGGACCCCACCCCGCGCTGACCCGCGCGGCCCCGGGCCCGAGGTCGGGGAGGTCGGGGTGGACGGTGCGCGTTCACGCAGAGAGCAGGTTCGGCCCCGCAAGATGCCTGCGGGGCCTGTTGCCGGTGAGCGCTCGGCTGGGCGTGTTTTCGGGCCCCCCCGCCCCGAAGCTTTGGGCCCCCAGCCCGCGGAGGGGCCGGGCGGTGAGCGCGGCCTTGGGGGAGGCGCGTGTCCCGCGCTTCCCCGGGAGCCAGGGCCGCTGCAGGGACGGTCCCCTCGCGCTCGCTTCGCAGGCCGAGCCGCCGTGTGCCTGCGGGTCTAGGCGGAAAGCGCCCGAGTTCAAGCCCTGGGGGCCGCCACGGGGCAGACCGAGTTCTGGGGCTCGGGTTTCCACCCCCGGGCCCGCGGCGCACACCCTTGCGGTGGGCCGGGGCGGGGGCGGGGCGGCGCGCTGAGCACCCACTGACGGGGGCTTCCCGTCGCCTGGGCCTGGGCCGCCGGGCTGTGGGCGGAAGGCGCCAGAAACGTGCTGGGGCGCTGGGCTCGGCCGTGGCCGAGGGATCACCCCGCCGGGAGCCCGGAGCCCCTGCCAGCCGCGCGCGGTGAGGGCGGGCGTGTTTCAGAGCGTAGGGCACGGGCCGGGGCAGAAGATCAGCCTCCCTGCACGCGATTCCCCGTCTGGAAAACGGCGGGGGCGCTGTGGGCAGGGGACGAGCCTGCCGCGAGCCCCGCGCGCGTCGCCTCTGCCGCGGCTCCAGCCCCTGGGGAACTTGGGTGCGTGGGCCCCGCGCCCGGCGCCGCAGCCTTGCCTCCTTCGCGGCACGAGTGGCGAACAGCGGAGACCGGTGGCCGGGCAGGCCTTACCAGGCTGCTCTCGGCCTCCCTGAACTTGCGCCCCGCTTCAGTTCGGGGCTCGAAGCGCTTCCCTTTTGGGTCCAGTCATCGTGTTTAAAATGGGTTTTTTAAACTGCGTGTTATCCAGCTCTCTGGACACTCAGTAGCAGGTGGGGCCTCTGTGGAGCCGCCGAGGGCCTGGAGCAGGTGCAGGCCGCCCCCCTCCTGCGCCCACCGGGGGCAGCGTGGAGCTGCGCGGACCCCGCGCCCCGGGCTGGCCGAGCACACCCCTGGGGTGGGTGTCTCCCGCCCCGAGACCCACTCCTCCCCCCGTCTCCCTTCCTGCCGGAGAGGAGGACCCTGGCCCCGAGCCCGGCCCCGAGCTCCGTGCGCCGGGAGGCGGCCCCTGCCGACGACACCTGGCACGCAGGCGCCCGAGCCCCGCCGTCCCCGCGGCCCCCGGCACGGCCAGCGGCCCGGTGGAGGAGGAGGGGAGGCTCGTGCCGGGGTGAAGGGACGGTGACCTGGGGGACGCCGGCCAAGCCGCGGCTGCCGTGAGCGGAGGGGCGGGGGGGGGGGAGGCCCCGAGTGCCCCGAGTGGGTAAAGGCTCCCGCTGCCACCGCCTGGCTCAGGGGGTTCTAGACCTTTCTCTGAACGATGCCGAGCCTGTGAGGAGCAGGAGCTCCCTGCTTCGGGGCGGGGGGGGGCAGAGAGCGGGCATCACTAGGATCCTGTGTCCTCCCGGGGAGCCCAGCCCCGCGCCCACTCCAGCGCCACACGCCGCCACCTCGTCAGATTACGGAAGATAGTTTATTGAATCTATACGTTTCCTTAAAAGCTTTAAACATAAAAGCTCTGTAACAAACATCACAACTTAGTGTTATCGGTCGTATAAATAAAATATACACTAAGATGTACATCGTCCACAGCGAGGACCACGGAGCGGCTTGGGGGCAGGTGGCCGAGCCTCAGGGCGGGGAGCGCGGGGCCGGCCCCCTAGGGAGGCGGCGTGCGGAAGCGGAAGCGGATCTTCTTGGCCGTTTCCGCGTCAGCCTTGGCAACCAGAAACCGCATCTTCTTTCCCCCGCGTCGGATCAGGTCCACGGCTCTGAAACGCGGGGGGCGGACAGGATTCACCTCAGGCCCAGCCTCAGGGCAGGCGAGGCAGGCGGGGGTGCCGGGGGTGCCTGGGACGGGGGCCCAGCCCCTCCGTGAGGGGCCCGTGCTGGGGCTGCTGTGTCGGCCGAGGTCGGTGGAGCCGGCTGAGCCTCCGCTCCCTCGCCTCTAACGGGGGCGGGGGCCGTCACGACCGGACCCGCTCGCAGGCCGCTGCGGCACGAGGGCAGGGGTACCTCAGGTAGCTGACGCCCCTCAGGCTGCTGCCGTCCACCTCCAGGATGCGGTCCCCCAGGGACAGGCGGCCGTCCGACGCCGCGGGACTGCCCGGGAGCAGGGTCTGGATGTAGAGCCCGGGCGCGCCCAGCGGCGTGTGCTGGGGGAGAAGCAGCGGGTCGGCGGGGGCTCAGCACTGGACAGCCCCCCGCAAGCCCCTGCTCCCCAGCTTTCCTCCGGTGCACTCACCATGCCGTCGATCAGGCCCATCCCCAGCCCCGAGGGGCCCCGCTCCAGCTCCACCACGAAGACGTAGCAGAAGTCATCCGAGCTGGAGCTGCGGCTGCACGGGGCCGGCGGGGCCGCGTCCTCGGGGCCCACGCCGTCTCCTGGGCGGGCAAGAAAGGGGCCCCTGTGCACGCCGCCGCCGCCGCACGCCCCGCCCCTGGAAGCGGGCTCACAGAGCCCCGCAGGGAGGGGTGCAGACCCCCTCGGGGCCACGTGTGCCTGCGCGGGGCACCTCCAGCGCCCCCACGGCTGCCCTGGGACACGAGTCCCGTCCGGCCAGGGCCAGGGCCTGAGCAGGGGCTCTGCTCAGGCTCCCGGCACAGAGCTCCCCTGGGACCCTTCCCCTCCCTCCGCACCTCTAAGGGGGGACTCCGTGTCCGTCCACCCCGCCCCCCCGTGTCTGAGCCTGCCCCCTTCTTGAGCCGGGGCCCCCCTGAGGGTCCTGTACCTTCTCTCCCCGGGAGGTCAGAGCCGTTGGCTGCAGACCAGCACCACGAAGCAGGGGTCCTACCTCAGGCCCCGCTCTACCTGCGTGGCCCCCGCCCTCGGGACACGCTCCGAAGTCTGCCGGCGCACGGCCCGTGCAGCCCACGTGGGGGCAGAGCCCCCCCCACACACACACCTCACTCCTCCGTGCTCGCCCCTGAGCCATCCTTCCTCTGCCCTGGGCGGAGCCACCTGGTCCCACAGATGGCTGTGTGTGGCCCAGCTGCCCTCCAGCATCCCGGGCTGTGGGCGATCGAGCGCGGGCACCGCCAGCCCAGGCCAAACATGCCACTGGGATCTCGTGGGCGGCATGACCCCAAGCGGCTCTGCCAGGTGGCAGCAGGGCTGGGTGCAGGCGTGAGCCCGGGGACACGGCTCACCTTCTGGAGCTGCGCTCCTCCTCCCTTCCGGGAGCGCTTTCCCACGGGTGCCGCCAGGCTCGGGCCAGTCCGGGACGGCGGGCTCGAGGCCAAGTGGGGTGCTGGGAGGCGTCAGCAGGCACGAGGAGTCTACGTGCGAGGGGCCAGCCTGGGGGCCCCCGCAGCTGTGCCTTCCCGGAGGGCCCTGTGCGCGGGGAGCGCCAGCAGAAGGCAGAGCGCGCACCTGGCCGGCTTCATGGGCTCCCCTGGAAACGAGCGGGCAGCTCTGGCCCTCGGGGTGCCCCTCCGGGGTGGTGTGGTGCGGGCCCTGGGTGGGGGTGGGGGCGGGGGTGGAGAAAGCGCTCAGGTACTCAGCCGCCCGGCGTGGTGGGAGAACCGAAGGGGCCCCGGGAGCTCCCAGGGGCGGCAGCCAGGCCCTGTGCTGGCTGCCCCCGTCCGCCCCGTCACCAGGGTCCGTGCCCCGACAGCCGGGCCCGGGTACCTCGAGGCACTCCGGCTGGGAAGGTGCAGCGACGGGGCTGGGCTTGCTGCGCAGGCTCCACAGGAAGTGGCGGACGTAGAGAAGGTGCTGGTAGATGCTGTCATCCAGGCAGTCCGCCTCCAAGTCCACCTGGAAGCCCTCGCTCGGCAACACGATGGGTGGGGGGTTTTCGTACGACTCCAGGACCTCCTCTGGGGCGGGGGGGAGGATGAAGGGACCACCCGGCCAGGAGTAGCCTTCCTGCCCCTCCCCAGGCACGCCAGCCACCCACCCCACCCCGGCGGGACTGGGGACACCGCCATGCGGCATCCAGCCAGAAGTGAACTGCCCAAGCCAGCGCTCGGCCCTTCTGCACCCGGTGGCCGCCCAGGACGAGGCCAGGCTGCCCCCAGTGGAGCGCCCACCACGGGGCAGGCCTCAGGAGCGAGGAGCCCAGGGTCCCGCTCAGAGCACTTGTTCCATCCAGGCCGAGGCGCTGAGGGGTGGGGACCCTACTTCCAGCTGTGTCTTCTCTTTGTGTCATGACGTGCATCACGCAACAGAGAGAGAAGACCCAGAGAGGCCGACGCAGGCCGTGTGCGTACACACAGGTGCCCAGCACACCCAGCTCCGCACGCAGGGTGCAGGCCCCGCCCTCCTCCTGGTCGGCTGGGCCCCGAGCGCTCGGGCTCCTCGATGGGGAGGGGGACCGTGGACTCTGACCTCCCGCTGTGGGGGTCTCTGGGTCCCCAGGTGGGGGATGGGGCAGGGCGCTCCCAGAGGAAGGTGGCCCCGGGGGGAGGTCCTAGGTGCTCCCCAGGCTCCTCCAGGAAGTCACCCAGGGAGGCTCCCCTCTGCCCCCACACGGCGCGCGGGGCCCCTGGCTCCTGCCCCGGAGGCGGCTCACCTGACCTGAAGGCCTCGGGGCTGTCCTGGGCACCTGGCTCCCAGGCACTCATGGGGCCCACGGCCGAGGCCAGCTGGTACTGCGTCAGCAGCCGGCGTAGCTGTGCGGGGCTCAGGGTGGGGAACGCAGCCCGCAGGTCTGTCCAGCTCATCTGGGTGACAAGCAGCAGCTCACGGTCAGAGGCCCCTGGATGGCGCAGCCACACCCCCGGGGGGGGCTTCTACGTGCTCTAGGGGCAGGGGCAGAGGGCCCGGGCTCCCTGGCCACGTGCTCTCAGCTCGCTCGCGCAGGGCCTCTGGCACTGTGAAGGCGGGTGAGGTCAGCAAGGGGGTCAAAGCCCCATGGGCGTCCAGGGTGAGAGCCGGGGGGGTGTCTGTTCCTGGGGGGCGGCCAGCAGGCACCACACCCAGTGCTCTGTCCACCGAACGTGCCTCTCCCCATGTCACCTCGCGGGGCTGAGAAGGGCGGCAGAGAGCCCTGGGGATTCGGGGAAAGGGGGTTCCCGCCTCTCAGTGCGTAAGAGACCCGACCCGCCAGGCTGGGGACCCCGAGACTGGCTCTGTGGACGGACAGGGAGGCTTCCTTGGGGGGGACCAGCAGCCTGACCTTGTGCGCAAAATGCAACAGCTTGCGCCATTCCCTGCGACCCTGGTCTCCACGGGCCAGGGATGTCCCTCCTCTCTCGTTTTCTGGAACCCTGTCTTCTGCCTTCTGGGCTAATTCTCGTTTCTGTGGCACAGACCCTCACCACTGCCCCTGCCGCCAGGGGAACCGGTCCACACTCATGCTCTCCATGGTGGCGACTCCCTTGTCCCCCAGCTTCTGACGCGGCCCTTGAAAGTCGGAAACCACGCTGACGGCTGATCCTCGGCGTGTGTCCTGTCTTTATTCTTCCAGGAAGTTCACAGGCTTCTCGCGGCCGTGGTCCCCACACTGCGGCGCTGCGCTCTCCAGAACCTCGGGGCGGATGGGCCTGGGGACGTCTCGGTCCCCCCTGGGCCATGGCCACCACCTCCTACTGTTCGGAGCCTGGGCCTCGCTGGCAGGTCCTTCTCTCGTCCCATCTTTGCCTTCACTCCTGTGCTTCCCTCTTTTCTGGGTTTCCTGCCAAGGGGCCTGGGCTGTAGGTAGCAAGTGCCTTGGCCAGAGGGACAAGCGTGGCCCCAGGCTACGTTGCGGGGGGCGCAGGGCAGCGCGGGGAGCACACCCCCCGGCTCAGGACAGCCTCTGTTGGCCCGAGGCGGTGCTTCTGGTTTTCTCAGTTCCGAGAACCCCGGCTTCCCTCCCCCAGCCGTGCGGCATCCAGGGCCGGTGTCCAGGCGCCAGGGGCCTAGCACGCTCCCCTGTCCTCCTTCCCCCGAGTGCGGACCCATGTTCTGGGTGACTTCCTGGACTCGGTCTCCGGATCTTGCCTCTGAATCCTTCCTCTCTGCTGCCAGCTTTAGTTTCCAAGAATCCTCTTGGTTCTTCTATTTATAGAATGCAGTTATCTTACGGACACTAAGTCTTCTCTTTATGAAGATGTATTTTAAGTTTCTTCTCCCTGAGAAGTCTGTTTCGGGGGATGGCAAACTATGGCCCGAGGCCTGTATTTGAAGGGCCCTCCAGCTAAGAATGGTTTTCACATTTTATGAAGGGCTTAAGACAACAACGAAGAAGAATTTGGGATGGTGACTCTCTGTGGCCCACAAAGGCTAAAGTACCAACCACCCGGCCCTTTACAGAGAAGCCTGCCAGCCCAATCTGTGCCCCCCAACCCCTCTCCCCACATCCGTCTCTCCTGTTCCAGAGCGGGAGCCGAGTCTGCCCGGCCGGCTTGCGGTGGGACCTGGGTCTGCATCCCCCACCAGGACTGTCCCCGACCACCCAGCGGGCCAGCACCTGCCGCGGGGAGGGCACAGGCCCCCACCGAGCAGGCAACGGCCCACGGCCTCCGGCCCTCAGATGCTCCTTGGCCCCTAGTAAGCCCCCTTTCCAGAACGAGACTCCTGGTGTCAGGATGACGCCTGGTCTCCTGGCCTCGAGACCCTTGGTCGTCAACACTCTAGAGATCGGCCCAGGGCTTCTGGCAGTGTGAGGGGGACAGGCACCCAGCCACACAGGAAGGGGCGGCCGAGGACCCAGCGCTGCTTTGTCATCGTCCTGTGCGTCTCGTGCTGACGAGGGCCCGTGACCTCGGCGCACATGTCCGTGGGGGGGAGAGCTGTGGCGAGCTCTGACCGGGCAGCCAGGCGCCCCCACTATGAATAAATGTTTTCCTGGCACGATGGAGATGCAGTCGTTCCTACTCCTTTTCAGCGTTCGCTCTGAAGATGTCCCCTTCCTCGTCTCGATGCTGGCGGTTTGTAATTTCCCACTTTATTACACTCTTCGAAGAGCCACTCTTGGCCTTCTGCTCCTCTTGTTGTCTGTTCACAGACCTTCGGGTTTGGCAGCTCCGCTCCTGCGCCAGGATCTTCCTTCTCGGCCCTGTTGTCCCCGTCGCGTGTAAGGGCTACACGGTTTCCCCAGGAGCCAGGCTTCTCCGCTGCTCAGGCGGTCACCCGCCTCCTGGCCTCCACAGGGCTCGTCTCCTCCGCGCTCTTTGTCCCCCCGGGGGCTTGTGCCGCCAAGAAGCCAACCAAATGCCTATGTTGCATCCGCGATCCGCACACATGTGCCTGGTTTCTGAACTGTCTCTAGTGAACCCATGTGTCACTTTTAGAATTAAAAAAAAATCCAGTAACTTACAAGACACCTGAACCGGACCTAGTCCCCAACACATGGCAGACTGTCCGTATCCGCTGAGCGATCCCTGGCCGGGGGGACTCGGCGTGGGCAGCACGAAGCAGAGGTTGCTGTGCGGGTAGCTGGTCACACCGCGCGGTGCGGGGCGGACAGCAGCTGCCGTTACGGAGAGCCCCGGTGACCCAAACCCAGATGACACCTGCCGTGTGGTGATCCTCGGGCAGAGGCGGAGGGTCTGACTCTACAGCAGACCGGCAGGTCCGCAGTCCCTGCAGGAGCGTCCTGCTGGCTACGCCCGAGGTGCCCATTTGGTCCAGACGCTCCCGGCAGCGCCGGCCGTGCGGGCCTCTCCACGTCGTCCCCGGGCACACTGGCTGTTTCGCCAGGCAGGAAAGGGACACCACTGGTTTGGGTTCAGGGATCATCCGCGACGACAAATGCGCACTCTGACAGTCCTGGGGGTCAGACGCCCAGCAACCGTGGGGCCCAAACCGAGGAGCCAGCAAGGCTGCATTCTGCTTGCGCTCCTGGGCCGTCCGAATTCAGTGGAGGCCTGTTCCAGCTTCCGGAGGCCGCCACAGCCCATGGTCCCTCTTCAGAGCCAGCCGGGCCGTCGAGTCCCTCCTCCCGTCCTCTCTCGGACCCACGCTTCTGCCTCCCTCTCCCACTTCTAAGGGTCATGTGCTTAGACGGGGCCCAGCAGACAAGCCGGGGTAAGCTCCCCATCTCGGGGCCCCCAACCTCAATCACACGTGCAGAGCCCCCCGTGCCGTGTGGGGTCCGACATCGCTGGGGCCTTCTCCTGCCTGCAGGTGGGAAGGGCTGTGGGAGGGGAGCCACTCCGCGAGCTCTCAGGGGCCCGGAGGCCAGCTCTGGGTTTGTCGGGCACCCCCTACCTGGATGAGCTGTGCGCGGGGCGTGGCCAGCAGGTTGAGTGTGCAGGAAAGCTTCTGGAAGAAGCGCTCCCCGGCCTCCCCGCAGCCGGCGCTCCTCATCCACTCCAGGAGCTGCTGCAGGCGGGCGCAGGCCTGGACGCCTCTGGGCCAGTGGAAGCAGCTCAGAGAGGGGCCTGGGAGCGGGCAGGGAAGGTGACGCCCAGCTGCTCCCCACATGGCAGTCGTGCCCCCCGCCCTCCCCAGGGGGCTCCCCAACGCCTGTCCTCCCCGACTCCAAGCCTCTGGGGACAGGCCTGACAACCGTACGTGGGTGTCCAAGGCCACTAGGCTGCTTCTGGACCCCTCTCTTGGCGGGGGGGTGGGGGGAGGAGGGGGGCACGGATGGGGGTGGGACAGCCACGGAATCCCAATGCAGAGAGTCCACACCTATAGCCAAGATGCCTGCTCCCACCCGGATCCTGCCCTCGGAGCCCGACCAGCCGGGGAGGGCCGCGCTGGGGACACACGTGTGCCACGGGTCTGCACGCATGGCATGCTCATGTCCCCGTGTCCCAGCGGGGCCCGTGGCTGGAAGAAACTGGCACCCCGAGCCCCTGGCAGTGAGGAGCCTGGGGGGCAGAGGCCAAGTCCCTTCTCTGAGCCCGTCCCTCCTCGCTCCCCAGTGGGGCTGTGTGGGGGTAACAGGAACCAGGAAGGGCCCGAGCAGACCCCACCCCACCCCGGGGCCCGTGTGCAGACACTGACGCACACTCCTGAAGCTGCCCCGGGCCTCAACCTGCCCGCCAGAACCCCAGGCAGCGAGATGCCTCGGCCCCCCAGCAGCCCCCAGCACCCGCTCAGCTTCTGCAGCAGGGGTGGGGGTCCCCGCACTCCCCACCCCGGGCCTCACCCTTGTCCAGGAGCTGGTTGAAGAGCAGAGTGCCGGAGAAGAAGAAGAGGTAGGCCAGCACCTGGGAGGCGATCTCGGGGTGCACCCGGAACTGCCGCAGGAGGTCCAGGGTGGCCTGGTAGACCGACACGACGTGGCGCAGCTCCTCGGGCAGCTGGGGGGCGGGGCACCAGCTCTCCTGGCGCTCCGTCTGGAAAGGGGGGCACTCCAGCAGGGCCGGGAGGCAGACGTACAGGGACTGGGGGCGAGAGGGAAACCCCAGCTGCACGCGAGCCCCCCGCCTGGGCCCATCGCGGGTCCTGCTGAACGGGCCCCAGCTGCCCGGGGCCACGGGGGCTCGGGACCAGCTCCGGCTAAAGCAGCAGAGGACACCAGGAGGGGCACAGAGCCCCGGCCAAAGGGCTGCTGGAGACGCCCCACAGGTCTTGGGGGGGCTGCACCCCTCCTGTCTTATCAGACAGAAGGGTGGCAAGGGAGCAGCTGGCGGGTCCCCCGAGGGACCACACCCCCAGCACCGGAGCAACCCTCCCGCGGAGCCAAGCCGGGCGCAGCAGCCTGGGGGCCAGGCAACGGCCCCGGTGGAAGGCCTGGCAGGACGGCAGGCACCCACACTCGCCTCGGGGCTGACGGGGCAGCGTCGGCTGCTCCCCAGAAACAAGGTGAAGGCACCACCTCTGAGGGGAGTCCTCGCTGCCAGTACATCTCAAGGTGATCCTGGGGTGATGGGTCAAGGGCAACACGCATCCCCACTCGGACCCCCAGGGCACATGGGTGGGGGGCTCCTTCCTGTTTGGCCAAGACACTGAGGCTGTGCCCTTCCCAACCCAGGGCTCCACGCAGCTGGGAGCACCTGAGCACAGGGCTGCCTGACTCGACCGTCTGAGCTCCGTGCGGAACAGACAGGGAATCCAAGCATTGTCCCCAGCATGCTGTCTCCAACGAACCCCTCCTGCTTCCCGCTGGAGAGCAGGGTGGCAGCTTCCATGCCACCCCCAAGTCCCTCTAAGTTAAAACTCAGTCCCGGGCGCCTGGGTGGCTCAGTCGTTAAGCGTCTGCCCTTGGCTCAGGTCATGATCCCAGGGTCCTGGGATCGAGCCTCACATCGGGCTCCCTGCTCTGTGGGGAGCCTGCTTCTCCCTCTCCTCCCCACTTGTGCTCTCTCTCTCAAATAAAAAAAAAAAAAAAAAAAAAAAAAAACCTCAGTCTCAGCAAATCCCCTGGGCTCCCCTGGACAGGACCACCTGCCACAGGGGCCCCTCCTCTCTCCACTCCCCTGCCTGTGCCCCCCCTCCTTACCCGGAGGCCCCATTGTCCTCTCTGCCCACCGCAGTGCCCACCGGTGCCCACGGAACACGCGCTCCACCTTCCAAATCATTGCCCAGAGCAGCCAGCCCTCCAGCTCCCCAACACCGCGGGCCCCTGCGCAGCCGGCGGGCTCCCGGACAAGGGTGGGGCGGGCAGGAGGGCGAGGGGCGGGAAGCCGGGGCTCAAGTGTGTGGAGGCAGCCGTCCAGCTCAAAATCCTCAGCTGCCCCCACGCCGGGGGGCCAGGAGGAGCACACCCTGCCGCGTCTGCCAACGAGCCGGCAGCGCCGTACCTTCGAGACGTAGTACACACACTGCTGGAAGGCGTACAGGATGACCTCCTCCAGGACCGCCATGGCCTCCTCGCTGGCCGTCAGCGTGCAGGAGAACAGGGACTCCTTGGAGCCTGCGAGGAGACAGCAGCTCACGGTCACCGTGTGGGGACGCGGGGGGCGCCCAGTTACCCCCGGAGTGCGCCCACCCAAGCCCCCATGCTGGGTTTGGGGACGCGATAACCTAAGCCAGCCAGCCCGGCCGGCCGGCCGCACACCGACTGCCGCACCTTCCGGGGCTCCGGGGCTGAGATGCTGGCCGAGGCGGCCGGCCCCGCGCTTCCAGGCCCGGCAATGCTAAAGTGACGCGAGGCCCATCGGAAGCTCGTTACTGACTAGATCCCGGACCCTTGTCTACTGAACCAGCTGCCCCAGCAAGAGCAGATTCTGCCCCAGTTCCCCTGCAGCCACCTCTCACCCCGGACGCAGGTCAAAGGAACACCGGCCAGAGCTCCAAAGGAGACCGTCACTCCACAGAAGCGTGACGTTTCCAAGAAGAGAGAAACCAAATGGCCTGCGTGCCCCGTTCTGCCCCCAGCACCCGGGAGAGACTGCAGGGAAGACACTGCTCTGAGAGCAGGATTCTCGACAGCCCCGCTTCATGCAGGTCCCCCTGAACAACAGGCCCGGGTGGCTGGGCCTCCCCGGACGGGCGGGAGCTGAGCCTGGGGGGCCTGCCCAGTGGGGAGACGGGGCTGTCAGTGGATGCCCGGTGATGCCTTCCCTCTGGGAGGGGTTCTTGTAAAGGGACCCCAATACCAGAGAACCCCACCAGGGCGGAAATGTCCTGAGGGGCCTCCAGAACGCAGAGACACGCGGTGTCCCACCAGCGCTTAGCAGGGGTGCCCGTGGCCTGGACGCTCCACCTCGTCTCCACGCTCTCAGAGCCTCACTTCATCACAGGACCTGCAGGGAGGCGGCTGGGCCGTGCGTGTCCAGTGTGGCTACAGCCTTTTCACTACCACACAGCGTGGGCCCCACGGTCTAGGACTCTCGTCCCAGGGCTGGGATGGAGGTGCTGGGTCTGGTGGGGCCTCCCTGGAGCACGGGGACCCAGACCACCCACTGCTGGACAAACAGAATGGAAACAGCATGCGAGTCCATCAGAGACCCCACCCCTACAAACAGGGATGCATCCCTGTTCGAGGCACTTTTCTTTCCAGGGCTTGGGGCTCTCCCGCCCCTGGGCCCACAGTGCACCCCCAAAGGCCCCACTCCCCAGGAACCTGCCTGGCTTGGGAAGCCAGAGGCCTGCCCCCCCTGCCCAGGGTCCTCCCCAGAGCCCAGCCTGTAGGGTCTCATTTGGGACTGAGCCTGGTGGGGTCTGGCTGCTCCCGGCAGCCTCACTGGACTTCAGAGGAGAGGCAAATCAGGCAACTTTGGGGCCCCCGTGGCTTGGGGGAGCAAGGGGCTCTTACTAGGCCGCTGGGCTGCAGCACCCCAGGCCTACAGAAATATGCAAGGCCGCCCACTGCTGACCATGGCAGCTGCAGACCAAACACGACCCACAGCCGATGGAAGCCAGCAGGAACGGGGCCAAGAAACCAGTTCCAAACCTTTTGCCTAGAGCGGGGCCTGGGTGGGGGGCCTCCTACGTGGCCAGCTTGTCCGAGAAAGCCCACCTCTACCCGCCGTGTAGGCATGGGGCTTCTGGTGGGAGGAGGGATGGCAGAAAGAGCAGGAGGCCAGGACTCAGCAGCCACGGGGAGGCTCCCAGCAGATGCCACACGAATCTCTCAGATGCCCCTGGAAAACCAGCTGCAACACTTGTACCCATGGTGTGGGCTCTGCTGGGGTTTCCGACCAAGCTGACGCTCGCACGAGCCTCGCGGAGGGCCGGGGGCCTGCACTCCGGGCCCCCAGATCCACAGGTGCTGAAGCCGAGCCGCAAAGCTCCCAGAGAGCGCTCAGTGGATAAAACAGCCCCCACCCCCGATGGGCCCACCTTCCGTCTGCCTGTAGGAGGGAGGTGTCCTGGATAAGAGCTTCGGACAACAAAGATTGTTTGCGGAACGAAAAGGCGATTTTCCAGTGTTCAGGACATAACATCTGTTTTCAGAATTCTTCCCACAGAAATTTCCCGCTGAAGGTCAGGAGGCCGAGACGCGACTCTGACCTCGCCTCTGCCCTCTGCTGATGTGATTTTTCCTCCGAGCCCTCCAGCGCCTGCACCGCGCAGGACATTGTTTGTGGGACGCTCAGATCCGGCTGCGGCCTCCCAGCCCGCGGGGTCCCAGGGGTGGGCGGGGGCGGGGCCCCGGCCATCCGTGTGCTCGCCCCCAGCATCGCCTGGGCTGCACGACATCCAGGCCCCGGACCAAAAATAACTTCCTCCAAGAGCAGAGGCTGCAGCCAAGGAAGCGGAGCCCCCATCAGCCCCAAGTAGCCTTTTTAATGAAACAGACGCAGGGTCCCTGTGCCCAGGAGGCAGGCCCAGTGGGGCCCAAAGACCACAGCCTGTCAGCAGAGCGTGTGAAATCAGGGCAGACGAGATGGGGTGTCAGCAGGCCTCACCCACCCACCAACACTGTGCCCGAAAGCCAGGGAGGGGGCAGTTCCCCCGGCTGACGCTGCTGGGGCCAGAGCAGGTGGGACTCCCTGTCAACACCCCCAGCCCCCTGGCATCTTGCACACAAGGGCCGCATGCGCTGGAGACGAGCCAGAGGCCTGGCAGCCCCCTGGCCAACGCCACGTCCAGAAGAGGGGCCCCTCCGCTCAGAACAGCCGCAGGCCCCCAAGGAGACCAGCGGGTTTGGAGGGCGGGAGGCCCGGGCTTCTGGCAGCACCAGCTCAGGACAGCCCGGGCAGCGGGAGCAGAGCAAGGGCCCTGGCTTTTGAGCCTCACAGGGCAGGTCATCTGCGTCACATTCGGGGGAAAAGCCGGGAAACCGACGGCTTTAGGCGCAGGCCTTGCGGACAGAGTGCAGCAGGGGGGTCTCATCGACGCCTTGCACCACGTCCACCCGAGGGGAACGGGGATCGGGGCAACCAGGTCAGCAGGCCTGGATGCCCACCGGGACACAGAGGCTTCCAGAACGTTCCTCTACATATCCACAGAAGCCCAAGGAAGCTCCCAATGTCCCTTTCACTGAGAGGTGGGGCTAAGAACACACGGAGAAGCCATGAGGCAGACACACCCCCTCTGCCTCGCGTCACCCCACCACCTCCCGGCCAGGCCTCTTCCACTGGCTCCGCGGGGCCCGGCACCGGCTGGCCCTCCGCCCACCCGTCTGCACAGCTCCCGGGCGGCCGACCCAGCACACGGTAGGACAGCCTGCCCCGTGCAGACCCCCGCCCCTCATCCTCGGCCGCCAGGAGCCCCTCAGCTCTGGAAATCTAGCCCCTCCTGGGGGCTCGGCAGGGTCCCGCGCCACCGGGGCTATTTGCTCGGGGCTGTCCCACACGGAGCCCACGGCCACCCCCGGGGCATGCCGCTGAGCGCACACACGCCAGGCAGTGTCCGGCGACTAAGCCCACGGGGAGCCTCGGCCAGGCCCGGCCGGCCTGCCTGGCTCCCCTCCCAGCTCCGGGGGCAGCCTTCAGGGGCAGGGCCGCTGACCCCCCCTGCCCGGGACCACCCCCACCCCCCCACCACAGGGACAGAGGGGGGTGAGCGGCTCTGGTTTTGCCACAGAGCGAGGGAGCAGGGAGCAAAACCAGGCTCACCCACGGGAGGCTGCGGCCCCTCCCTGTTCTGCGCTCATTCCCGGGCCACGACCAGGCGCGCGCGGCTGAAATCCCGACTCGTCCCCCGGCTGCCCCGAGCAGTCTCTCTCAGTGCTGCCATCGCAGATTCTAACGGGCGCATCCCCTGCGGCAGAGTCCCTGAAGCCAACCAGCGCCCGGCAGCACCGGCTCTCGTCCCGGACACCGGCTCTCGTCCGGGAAGGGACAGCCTGGCCCGAGGCACTGCGAGCTCTCGGCCGGCCTCTGCAAGCGACTCACGGTGGGAGGTGCTGAGTGTGTGACACGACCGGGACGCAAGGGGCGGGTTTGCCCGACGGCCAGTGCCACCCCCCCGGAGGGACCCCGACACACACACACAGTGCCACCTCCCTCGGTTCGAGCGGCCAACTCCAGCCCGGACGGCGAGGGGACGGCCCGCTGCCCCGCCCGGGAGCGGCTGCCCGTGGTACCTGTGACGTCCAGCTCCCCCTCCAGGCTCTGCATGTAGAGTGGGCACTTCTGCTGGATGAAGTACAGGAGCTCCACCGAGTTAGACATCCAGAAGAGGATGTGCTGCAGGTCTGGAACCAGGCCGGCCATGGGGAAGCTGGCCAGGGAGATGGGCTCCTGGCTGCCAAGACAGAGGACCCAGAGTTACTCCGGGAGGGTCCCCCGGGAGGCCGGATGCAGCACTTGGCACATGAGGACGTTCCAATGGGACACCATATGGGACACCACCAACCCCACCGAGGCCAGGCTGGGAAGGCGGGTACACAGACAAGCCGTGGGACACGACAGGCCGGAAGCACGTGCCCTCCATGAGGCATAGGAAGGACTGCCAGGGCCCACGGCCCTTGGTAAAGGGCTCTCATAGACTGTTCTCACATCTTCCCTCTGAGACT